ACATCAACTAGCCGACACCATTTACACACTTACATAATGTTGTGTCTTAAGTTCAACAAGAAACAAGTATCAAAAGTAGTAATGATATTATCTGGACATATGTGTTCCCTTAGAATGTAAAGGGTTAATCTTACATGCGTGTAGTATCCATATTAAATCATACTCAACGAGACAGACGAAATTTCCCACGTAGAATATATTTTTTACAAATAATTTAAAGGTGTATTTCAAACATCTTACAGAATGGAAACATATAAGTCTTAAACTACCTGTTGGGAAAGGCCATAAGGAGTTCATTCCTTGATCACTTCTTTGTCGTTGAAAACCCACGTATTCACTTGATGAGGAAAGCGACGTTAAATTTAACCAAAGCAAAACAACACCAAATCTTGTTCGCCATCGCACCACTTAACTTCTATTGCGAATATGTCGAGGTGGTACAAAACATCTCCATTGCCCATTTGGCGAGGTTTCAATTACAATACAACTGCTGTCAAACGAATTTCGGCCATCTTGTTATTTAGGAGTAAGTTCAGACTGTTGTGAGGTGACGGAAAAATTTGAATAAATTAACATTCATATTGTATCTGAAATTCAAATGAAGAAAGCTCTTGGTATGTTTCAGAACAGAACAAGAAGGCGTCGATTATTTGATTTAGCCATCAGAATTGGGAAAACGTAAAGCTTGAAATACAAGTCACAACAACACATTCCGGTCATAAGCAAGATAGCTTTAAAATTCTTCGGATTTAAAAACATGGCGAAGGCTAACAGCTACAATCTCAGCCAAGGGAAGCAGTGAAAGGTTATTAGAACCGACTGAAAAATTGTTAAAACCCATGATCTGTATTCAAGGAAAGCCCTCTTCTTTTTATCATCGTGGATAGCAATTAATGAACTGTAAACAATATTTTTTTTCGCACGATTTAATACTGTCAAAGAGTTTTTTATATCTGCTTTCGACGCTTCAATAAAATTCTGGTGCCTAGGCTTAACGGTTTAAGTCCGGCGTGATGTCAAGAGTTGGCGGCACAAACGCGTTACCATGCAACGGTATGTAATGGTTTGAGTTAGATAACAGTTACAAAATGAGCACAAACTTCTCAGGTGAAGAGGAGTCCGTGAGAAATCCTGTTCAGCAAGAATAGTTGGTAAAGAAGTCAGTGTCATGAATCGTTCCGCTGGGAGTAATCAGGAGCCTCTGGAGGCTCACACGTGGAAAGGACCATGACCATTGAGGTGGGTGTTTCCCAATCATTACGGCTTTTGTCTTTTTTTCGCTTTAAATCATACGTTTAGTGCAATCAAGTTAGAATTTGATATCGGAAGGAGCATGTCAAAAGCTTCTGTTGAGACTAAGTAACTAAATGAAGTTGAAACACCTGGTAGCGCGCTAGGACGCACTCCGATCGTGCACAAACGTGGTGAGGATGGGGAGACTTGTGCTGTTAGGATAATTTTACAAATCCGCTGTGATCATTCGCTAAGACTAAATATGCCTGGTAGTATGACTTACAGCCGGGCACGATCTCAAATAGACTAAATTTCCGGCAGTCAGAAATTTTCACGGATTTTCCAGCGAAAGGCTCTTTCAAACTTCTCAGGAATATCAGATGTTTGTTTAGAAATGTCAAGCGATTTCAAAAACTAATTTGGTTTTTCAGTAGACGAATTCTCTGAGCTTGAACATACTATAATATCCTAGGTTGTCGACACTTAGGAAGCGCTTCTGATCAGACTGCCGGGCACGTTCTCGAATGGATTAAGTGCCTGGAAGTTAGAAATTTTCATCAAAATGCCACTGAAAGGTTCTTTGTAGCTTATAAAGAGTATCTTCAAGTAAGACTCACTCCAAGTTGACGGTGGAAATATGTAACTTGAAGGGAGAGAGAGCGACCTTTTTACATTTTTCCTGCAGAATTTCATATCAACGGATGATACACCAGATTTGGTGTTAATCGAGTTGCCAGTAAACAATTATGGATGTATACACGGCGCAACACCACTCGCTCGAATTCGAAATTCCTTTATGTCTTTGGTTTGCTACATAAGAGAAGGGCGTAATTAATTGCAAGTTCATTTTGTTCGCTGCAAGGTAGAAGTCGTTTCGCTTCAAACATCTTTATGAATGCTTTAAGAAGGTGTCCACGAGAGCACCAGGCAGTCGTGATAGCCCGGAATGTGTTGGTTCAACAACCAGCCACTTATGTTTCTTTTTTTTTTTTTTTTGACGGGGTGTGCGTAACATTTTTATGGAGGGTGGAACGAGTGATTCTCGGTCGCTTCCCTACAAGTCTTGTAGGCATAGTTAGTAGAGGGGACTCTACTAACTATGTTGTAGGGAAGCGACCGAGAATCACTCGTTCCACCCTCCATACAAATGTTACGCATACCCCGTGAAAAAAGAAACAAACAAAAAAAAAAGCATGAGTGGCCGGTTCTTGGGCTAACACTTTCCGGGATAGAAGAGGAAAACACTTTTCACATTTACTACGGACAGAAATGTTCAACTCCTGGCGTTCGTATTGTTTTAGATACTTCTTAGGCTGTACTAAACATATAACCATACAACAACAAACATATGAAACATATGTGTGAACTGCGGTTATGAGACGTATATGAGAACGATCCTTCGCAGTAAAGCACTATTTGAGCAATAGTGAAAATCAGACCTGAAAAAAATTTCAGGCCTGTACGGGATTCGAACCACTGACCTCTGCGATACTAGTGCAGCGCTCTACCAATTGAGCTAACAAGCCAACTGGGAGCAGGCCATCAAATTAATTCGATATAAACCCGTAGATGATAAATCAAACAACAACAAACATATGAAACATATGTGTGAACTGCGGTTATGAGACGTATATGAGAACGATCCTTCGCAGTAAAGCACTATTTGAGCAATAGTGAAAATCAGACCTGAAAAAAATTTCAGGCCTGTACGGGATTCGAACCACTGACCTCTGCGATAGGTCAGTGGTTCGAATCCCGTACAGGCCTGAAATTTTTTTCAGGTCTGATTTTCACTATTGCTCAAATAGTGCTTTACTGCGAAGGATCGTTCTCATATACGACATATAACCATATAGTTTCTTCTGTCGTCCTAAAGCATCGTGGATGTTAAAAAAGCAGCCATTACTGTCAACTAGTACCAGTCCTGTACAATTTTGTGTTCTTGTTTAGCATGTAAATCCACGAGCCGCTGGATGAAAGGAATGAAACTTAGTTGATAACAACATGTTACCCTTTATTGCTGATAAAGGATTTACTGAAAATTGGTTGAAGTTAATTTTCGTCTATTTAAACCTGGAAGGTTCCTAATTTTGAGTATTAAATTTGAGCTGAGTGAATTTTGAACTCTCGTTTTAGCATGCTGATCGAAACGGCTCAAATGCCCATATCCGTCCCGCTAAATGGAAGGGATTAAGCTTAGTTGATAACAACCTGTAGCAGATGATTTACTGAGAATTGATTGAAGTTAATATTCGTCAATTTAAACCTGGCAAATGCCTTATTTAAGTATTACATGTGAACTGAGGTATAATGCTAAAATTGAACATAACTTGAAAAAAATATTCATTCTGCATATGTGCGATATTCAGTTTGGAAAGTCCTTCAAATCGCGATACAGGATGAAAACTTAAATTCTGGCGGTTCAAATAGCTTATGAACGACACAAAATCTGATGGGTTCTTGAACTCTAAAATTTAGAGTCTTAGTACACCATGGACCTTTTATATCCTTAGTCTCTCACACGCACATCTAACGCAAGTTTGCACGCATGAATTACGTGCATTACTTTGACTTCCTCAGGAATCCCATCCAAGTCGGAGCTGTCATCAAAGACACGTGATAAGTACTCACTGAGTCTGGAAAAAAAAAAAGGTAGAAAATTATACTCTTAGATTAATACAAGTTTTCCGCCCTTCAAAGCTGACAAGGTGGCCGAATTCCATGAGCACAAGTTGCTCATAAGTGTGTACAAAGGTATAGTTTTAAAATTTGGAGGCCACAAAAAACCAAGACCATATAAGAAGACAAAGAGACCTAAAGCTACCCCTTCAGCCTTGCGCATCTAAATCTACCACTTTTGTGATTAATTTGATCCCTAACTGTGGGCACGTGCAGTTTTTGTGTTCCTTAAGAACGGATAACATTTTTACTCACATGGGAGGGGATGGAAAAGGAACAACAGTTGATACCTACAATGCCGCCCTTTATTTTTATTCCCTTCAAACTAACATGTGCTAAACTTCGCTATGGCTTTTCAAGTTTTTTTAGTTTGTCTTTTAGAAGTGCCATTACTAGAGATTTTATCACGCCTGGAACATTATATATAGTTTCTCCGAATATAGTGTATCGTACTGAACTCGTTTGGAACTCTTCGCACTGGGTAAGCAGAAAAAAAATCTTTAAAGAATGTTTTAACTTCAGAGGTATCACCTTGTAAATTAAGACAAACGTAGTGGGTTGAATATGGTAGTGCACTGTTTTTGACTTAAATGTAGCGTTCCTTAGTGGTGCATCCATTTAATGGTGAGTAAAATTATTAAATTTAAGTAATGAAACTGATGAACTGTATTGTACCGTAAAAAGTGTGCTGCACTATACACTTTGTGTATGTTGTACAAAAGAACACATAGAGCTGTTGCTTTGTAAACATTTCTTTGCTTTAAATGAATTATAAGAATTACCCCATTTCTCGATTTCTTTCTTCTTCATGAACAAGCAGCAAACTGATGACTTCAATCACTCTACTCAAAAACAAGTCAACGTCCATTCTTTTCAATGCTGCACTAAGTAATAAAATTGTATTCTTTGGCATTTCCTCTTTAAAACTGTCTGAAACCTTTTCAAACGGATCCTGAAAAAAAATGGAGGAATTAAGATCTGTTAAACAGAGAAGAAAAAAATCCAGTCTAATATCTGTAGAGGTTATGTTATGCATTTTTCGGTATCGTTTGTCAGTTAAAGATTAGCTGAATATTAGCTGACCGTTATGGGGAACTAATTTTGGCAGATGCATGCACTTTGCTGGCCATGAACGCGGCAAAGAGAACAATAATAGATGTATGGACTGTCTACCGGAACAAAAATGTGGTCTTTGTTGGGAGGTGAGCTAAAATCTTTCGAATGAAAGCAGTGGCGGAACGAGAGAGCTGGTCTGGGGGATCGTATCCTTTACCTAGCTCCCCCCCCCCCGACTTCTTTGTCACTACTTGTCTGACACCAAACTTCTTGCAGCAATAACGTTACTTGTACTAAGTAACTGCTTGATGTGTCTGTGCGTGTGCGCGTGTGCGTGTGCGTGTGCGTGTGCGTGTGCGTGTACGTGTATGTGTGTGTGTGTGTCTGTGTGAGTGCGTATAACTGCGAAGGAAAGGGGGCACGTGGGCATGAGTTGGTCGAGAAGTAATTTCGGACCCCCCTATCAAGAAACCCTGGATATGTGTGTCTGTGTGAGTGCGTATAACTGCGAAGGAAAGGGGGCACGTGGGCATGAGTTGGTCGAGAAGTAATTTCGGACCCCCCTATCAAGAAACCCTGGATACGGCCTTGAAAAGGAAACTTCTCACCATCACCCAATACACGATGACAATTTTTTTTGCCGAAAGTGATTTGAACACTCCGGAAAGCTATTTTGTAAAACGCACCTGTCTATTCTTGAACAAGAATCTCGCACGCGCTTCGGCGATTGTTGACCACAAATCCAAAATGTGACAAAGACAGCAAGATTGTTGAGCCTAAAAGATAGCAAGTTAAAGAAGGAAGGAAAATAAGGATAGATGAAAATGAAAACGGGAAAAGATTGATTGCAGCCAAATCCACCTGATGGATTCATTAAAAGTCTTTACTGTCTCGTATAATTTCATTAAAGTCTTTTAGTACTCTGTTCAGTAAATAGTTTGCCGGCGTTTATTAACAGACTGCAGTTTTCTTACTTTTTTATTTGGCAGATTGTTTGAGTGCCCTCCCTAGAGACACAAAGGTAGTTGATCAAGACAGCACGATCTTCCCCATTATCCTGACGCAAAAACTGTTGCTTGGTCTTCTCCGGAAGTTTGTCACACACCCACTCCCACCCCCCTAACCCATTGCGTTAATTTCGTAATTGACAGTTCAGCCCTGGCTTTTATGAAAAGCCGGCTTAACTACAATCGGGTCGGACGTTTTCATCCAGAAAAAAATTGTACTTGTAAAGAATTTTTCTGCATTTTCTTAAATCTAAATTTTGGAAGAGCATTTTACCATGGTAAGTAATTATGCGATCGAAATCAAGTACCATTAAAGCATTCTTGTTCCTCTTGCATTGAGAAAGACTAATTACCTTTTTACTCTTTAAGTTCGACTTTCTATCACCAAGAAGAAGAAACTCCTTTAGATAATCGCAGACTTTCGTTTCCGAATCTCCACCTGCTGTTGACAGGAAACCAATTGCCATTTCCAGGGTAGAAAGTAATTCACTCACATCCCTGAGTTCCTTCAATTCTGAGAGAATCTGGTTTCGAATATGACCATCAATTGATTCCTTAAAAAAAGACGAAATGTTCTTTACAACACTGATAACCATCTACCAATTTTTTTATTCGCACATGTAGTCTTTATGGTTCGCCCCAAGATGAACTTTCTTTTCTTTTAAGGGGGTAAATTTCTACAAAAACTGTGGTGCCACGTCGGTTGGGAGTATAACAAAATAATTTGGTTTTATAAACTGAGTCGTTAATGTAAATTTGCCACCGTACGGGTACTAAAGCTGACGTTTCGAGCGTCAGCTCTCCGTCAGAGCGAAACCCTGAAACCCGAAAACCCTCAGAATCTGGCCAGTGTAATATTCAATACCGTTTTGTCACTCACTACAACTACCTAGATCTCCTAGTGGATTAAAATTTCTGATAAGGTCTGTCTAACAATTGGGACTGACAAATTAAATCCTGGCTGTTGAATATCTTATGACATCTAACCTGTGGAATCTTGTTCCTCAACTTGACGAAGGATATATCGCAGTCATCTTCATGAAACACGAAATCATCCAGCTAAAAAAGATAGAGTAGCATATATTGATTAGGTGTACCTTTTGACTGGGTTTAACTGTTGGTTTGCGGAACTACCAAATTCCCTACCACTACTCTACTGGGAGAGGGCGCATTTCCAGAAAATTATTTTTGCTTTTCATATCACTCTAGTCTACAGACTGTAAAACTCCCCAAGATCAATTATAACGCACTGTGTAGGGAAATCAGCCTTGAAGAGGTCGCTCCTAAACTAAGTGACCTATGGTGGCGGCTAGAGAAAAACGAAGTTGAAGTCAAAGACAGAGCTAAAGAGGATTGAAACGCCGGGATTGCAATTAGGGAGTTCAAAAAACTGCTCCGGTTAATGTTTTAGTTGTTAATTTTAGTATCATGTTTAGGAACCTTTCATTTTGTCTCTTAGACGGTAAACTGTTCTTATTTTGGAACACACAAAATAGTTCATGCTTTTTCTCGGAAGCAAACTGTAACGTGTACCTTAAACTCCACGATAGGCCTTCCACGTATGAACTTATCGACTATCTGCTTCTGGAGGGTTTCCCAGTTATACTGCAATTTTTTTTCCTTCCCCACCTCCAGTGAGTAGGTGCAGTTAGCTAGCATCACAGGTAACAAGTCCTTTTCTGAGTCATATGCTACCAACTGCGATGCCGAAACCTCCGCAAGAGGAATCTTGGAGGTAGTACTGTCATTCAGATCCAAAATAATTCGAGTGAATCGAAAACATACTCACTGAAATATAGGAAGTCAGAGGTAGGCAAGTGGGTAGTTGAGGGATAGGGTTGTAAGCTACATGGTTCACCTCTTCGACCAGACACAAAATGACGATGAATCATACTAAAGGAAAGTGGTATGCCCTAATATACAAGTTATTTACTGGTGTAAGACCTACTTCCCCCGAAAGAAACCTGGCCGTGTCAAAAACTTGTTAAATCACTACTATTTATATTACAATCCATGTGTGTTAGACTCCCCACCCCTTATGAGAAGAAAAATAAAAAAACCTGAGAAATAACACCGCTACGTGTAATCATGAAGTAAGGTAAACCTTTAAAGGACATTCTGCACATAATAAGCATTAACCTGAAATAAGGGAAAGAGCACTAAGCTCACAGTAGGTACCTAAGTTAAAAAAACTTCCATATCAGAACTCAATACTAAAAAAATGAAACTAGGATCTAGCTTGATTGGAGATGGAGTGATATGTAACCTGCCTGACAGTTGGAGTATGTTATCCCAAGTGTCAATTTCAACCTCCATAAAATCGTGTGATAATAATGACCCCAGTGGCATCCAATGTCTTACGATTCTGTACCCTAGTGTGATATATGTAAATAAATTAATTAAAAAATACCGTGTCCTTCCGTCAGATCCAAAGGCAGCGTGGTATGTTTCCACCATTTCATTATGTGCATTGACCAAAAAGAACAGTAAAGCTTTGCAACAAACACCTGGGCCAGCCTTATCTGGTAGCAATACTGACACGCTGGAGTTCATTTCAATTGGTTTGGAGCACTGTTCTTGCGAAGGGGTAAAACGACCTGCCGCGGAGAAATATTTACAACGCACAAAAATTACTAAGCAATTCCAATCACCAATGGTCCATCTTCACTTGTTATGGATGTCCTTCGATTACTTTAGAAGATTTAAAATGAACCAGTCCATGATTGTTTAAATACTTCAATGTTTCCCCTCAAATACCTTTTTTAAAGTTTTCAGCGCACGTTTTCTCACCTTGAGAACTGAGCTGGGAGCGTGCTTGATCCCAAGCAGTGCGAAAACTTTTGAATAACTTTGTGACGCTTTCCTTTTGGTCTAAAGAGTGAAAAAAAACGTTAGTTCAGACCTACCTCAATTTCTGAGAACGAGGTTACTTAAATTAGAACTTACACAATTTTTCCCCAGATTTGTAGCTCCAACCACTTGTCACTATCTGCAGATTCGAAGAGGGAAACGAGGGGGAAGAAACTGATGCACTTTTAATATTCGTTCTCGCTGTCACCCAGCAAGTGCCGTGGGCACATTATTTCCGGTCCATAGAAGGTAAAATGTTTATATTGGGTGAGAGTAGGCTTAGATTTTTGCTTTACGATGAAAAAATGACAATTAATTTGTTTTCTTAAAAGCGCATCACTTTATTCCTGTCATGCTGTTCATGTTGGTAATGTTGTTTGATACTGGCACATTAAGTTTTCCTTTGTTGTCTTTCTTTTTTCTAGTAGCTTTTTTTCTTCTTTCTTTTTAGCGGGGCTCCCACGGGCGCTTCGCGCGCGTGGGGCAGAGCCTCCTACCCATGGAATATGGTCAACCTCATTTCGTTTGGTTGTCACGTGACTGACCGAGGATACGTGCTTTCAGATTGCACGGGTAGGGTAGGGGAGACTATCAAAATGAAGGGAGGGGTGTCTCAGGCGAGTCTTGGCAAATGCACATCTTTTATGTTATCATTAATATTACGAACTTGGGAGCTCCGCTTTTAGGCTTGGCTAAATCTATAAATTATATTTTACGTAGTGCGTGTGAGTGTGTGGTGCCTTACCTTTAATATAATTACTTATTAATAGCTTAAGCAAGGCTGCCCTATCATTCTATCCCTCAATGGTTATTATGGGCAGCTTGTACTCTTCCCATTTTTTATATTGTTGTTGTAAATAAGCCATTTTGTTGTCGCTCCTGTTTATCTATTATTAGATTATTGTATGCTGTCTCTCAGAAGCAAGGTAGGGATGACTAATTAAGGGCCTAAAAATATCAGCCTGGGAAATCAATCAAATTTATTTTTGGTTGATCTTTGTCCAAGACTGGAATACAGGGTTCTGAGTGACCAGTCTCTGTTTCTAACCAAACATCTAGTCAGATTCACTTAACATAATCGCCAAGTTTTGCAACTACCAATAGTTTTACCTTTCGACAATTTTTTCAAAAACTCCCGTATCCTGAGCTTATTCGCTTCATCTCGATTGATTCGTCGATAAAAGCGATCAGTTAGTATTCTTAGCAAAGCCAAAATCTCCGGCAGATGACGTACTGCGCGAAGTTTGTGCTCCTACGATAAGAAAAAAAAATGTCTGTGATCATAAACAAAATCTAAGTTCACCTTTTACCAAAGAGTTTGCTGTAGTTTCATTTACGTAGTACCTGCTTGAGAAACTTTCCTAGGATTTTGCATGGATCCTTGTTTGACCTGACGTCTTGAAACTGACGTATGAAATGCTCAACAGTCAAACGAGTTCTATATTTCCAAAAGGATGGGTTTCCAGGATGGATGTCTGTTGGAAAGCGAGGAGGTGTAGGGTCATCCACCTCGTAAATCTCTCGCATGAGTGGATCACTCCCTGCAATAAGGCCAAGAAGTTGAAACTTGATTAGGGATACTTTTTCTCATAAAAGCTAGCTCAAGGTTTTATGCATGCTGAAAAATTTCTCAAAGTTATTTAAATTTATCAAACTGATGGTTTGCAAAGGGAGAGGTATGCTCTTTTAAAAAAACTGGATAGCTTTTACCACCGCCATTAAAAAGTCCATGTGAATTTGTGACACTGGCTGCGCTTTGATCCTACAAATAGTAACATAACTACCCAAAAATCGTTTACAAATGAGCTAAAAATTCTACTAAGGATGCCACTATTTTTAATCCTGTTCAGCAACTCTCGCACCGATGACTTAGTAAAGCCTTACTTTTCTTTTTCCCACCCCCTTTCGATCTGTTTTGATAACTAGGGGTTGCAAAAAAGTGACATCTTTAACTCAAATAGTGATCTCTTTCTTGCCATAACCGAAGCCATAAATCTCATCATTTTTGTTTCGTTTTAGCATTTGAGTCCCTCCATGAGGGAATATAGTAGTACTGGAATATTGGGATGACAAAAGTTGCAATACAAAGCATTATTTATGATCGAAACAACTTTCGGGAGTTTGTATCGCCCTCGTTAGATGAAAAAGCCTTTCTATCTAATTTTAGTCGTTTCAATCACCGTGAATTTAAGGCGGAATCAATTTTTAAGGTTATGATTGGAATATTGACCCGAAAGAAGAGTTACAAATTCATCCGAAGTTAGGTCATTTAGGAAAGTAACACAGAGGTCTTACCGAGGAAATATCGTCATTACCTAATCTCTTATCGTTGATAGAAAGTGTATAGAAATTCTGCAGTCGTTCCTCCAAATTCTGTACAAATAGAACAAAATTTGTATCAAAATAGTTAATAAATAAATTAGTCCTCTTATTATAAGGAATAACACAGAATGACACGGTTTGGCGAGTTTCATTCCTTGCTCAGCGTCCACACTTCATACAAGATGACTTTGTGAAGCGGAAGGCGAATAAACCAAAAAACTACCTTTTCGGCTTCAGATGAAGATTCCCGAACTAAATATTGGAATCATCAGGCCTGATATGCATTATTTGCAAGTATGACAAAGCTTGTTCCAACCGTCTGGTCAGAATTGGTTTTCGGCCGAGTTCGTCCACCCGCTTACTATGTTTGAGTGTTAATACGAACGCGGAATAGCAAATACACCCTGAGCTCTGCTTTCAGCCTCATTTGAATTTATTTATAATATCGCATTGATTGATTGACGACAGTGTCAAACTGACGCGTCGCTGAATTACTGTAAATTACTTCTCCTGAGCAGAGCTCAACACTTGGTCAAAATATATACAATTGAGTTCTTAGAAAATGTCAACCTAACCTACTAAAAAAACATTTTCACCATATGTAGAAAAATAATTTGAACCTGAAGACACAAATCTCTTGTATTAAAAGAATTATATGCAAAGGGAGGAAAGCAAAGAGGCAAAAACCCACAAAAAAGGGTAAACTAAGAGCACAGCAGAACACAAGCCTCTTACCGTGCAAACAGGTCTCACAAACACGGAAGAAAACCGATTTTCCCATTCTCTTCGCTCCGCTTTAGTCGACCACTTTGTTACACCATCTGTACCTCCTTAAACATAAATATAAAATGGTATAACTTAAAGTAAAGGGTGTCTCTCTTAGCTAGGCTGTCTATGAAATGTGGAAAATGTTTGTCATAAATAGTTTTTTTTAACCTGCAAGACTGCTAATCTTGATGAAATGAATTGTGCCCTCTATAGTAGTGTACAATAATATTGTTCAAGATCCTTACATCAATATTTGGAAAAATAAATCCAAAATATCACTTTGCCATGATGAAAAACCCAAAAAGGAAGGGAGTAACCCAAAAAGGGGCGTAGGCCAGGTGTTTAAGGATGCGTTGATAAAGATTGAAAAGGAATGTAAACGGCTGAAGTTCTCAGGAGACACAAACTTTTACGCAGCGCCCCTAAAAGTGTCATTGGGTGTCATTGGAAAAAAAATAAGACCCCTTTTGGACATGGCTGCTGCATGGGTAGCTTGCTCTACTTGACTGGAAAAAATTGTCACTTACTGGCTGTTGCACGATACACAATCTCAGCTAAAACGCCATGAATCATCAGCACCACTTCATCCACGCTTCTTTCCAGGCTGGTCGATACATTTTGCACATCATTGACGAGATGTGCCCAGAGGAAACCCCCAACATCGTGTGGCTGAACATCTGACTCGCTTATTAGCTGACTAACGACCTTGGATTGACCATAAATCAACTTTAGAAATATATTGATTGGTAAGGGAACGTTGTAACTAACATTACAGCAGAATAGGTGTCTTTTTTATCACGGGTTCGTGAATGCTAAAATTCAATCAGACTCGCAAATTTCATCAGAACCGGTGTGTCTTATTCAGAACAAGACACCTTAAAAAGGTAGAGAGGTGGTTACATTGTTTTTTAATAATTAATTAATTGCAAAATTGAACTGCTGAGGCTTAAAACTGACTGACCACGCTGCCTACATAAAGACACATTCAAGATGATGAATTCGATTTGCCTATTGATGAACTTTCAGGAACTAAGCAGTAAATGCAGGTTAATGGAAACAGAATGCGTCGTGCAACATGCGATACCAGTTTTGTTCGAAAGTTTCGTGTTTTAGTTGGTCACCGTGAGACGTATAGCGCCACAATATATAAACATTAACGAATGAAATAGCTATTGACGAGGTTGCTTTTTAAGTATTCAAGTTTAACGCTATTCTATAATCTACCTTGGGTTGTTCTTGGGCTCCGGACAGCATCGCTGAATGGAGGATAAACCTCAAGAGGCTTACCATAGCAGGAGACAGATCTCTTTCAGAACCTACGATCCGTTTGGGCGTTCCCAAGATGTGACCTTTGTTAGAACGGTCGTCCCTAAAAATAAAATTAAGTCATGCAGGTTAGCGATTACTCTGCAGTGACAGTTACACCTTCTAAATGTAATTCTTCCTATTGTTTTCGAATTGAGTTGAATTGTTGTTTATTCTCCGTGCTTCTCCTGTCTCGACAAAAAACAAACAAAAACAAGACGTCCATTTCTCTTTCGATTTAGAATTTTCCATATAACGTTCTGGAAAACTCTTTCGTGACTTACTCCCACGAAAGATAAATACACTATTGCAGTATTACATACTGGCGTGAGTTGTCTCCACTGAGTTTCCTTTGGATCAGTTTCGATTATTTTTTTTCTCTTGCATCATCAAAATGGTTCAGAAGTGTTTCATTTTGTTACGATTAAATCAGAAAGGTAAATAACTTGATAAATAATCTAGCACTTGTGAAAAAAATCTTTCGTGGCTCCTATATATAATGTTATAAACATTTATCTTTCAACGTAACCCCAACAAGAATATTCAAAAATCACATAATGATATGTAAGAAATGCGAAGATACTGTAGACGTAAGCAGTGTAGGGTTAGAAGCGTATAGTAATCAGCGTAAATATTGACCATGCAAGTACTGAAATTATGTATCGTATATTCCGTGAAAGAAGAAACAAGATACCGGCGTGCCAGTTTGTTGTTTGGAACCAAATGGTGTTTTAGCCCTCCAATCGGAACCGACGAGTCACAGTAAGGGCAATCACGCTGCTGGTTTGGTCTGCCACACTATCAAGAGATAACAATGCGATTATAATACTGAGACTACTGTTAAATAATAGGCCATATTATTTAAGTGAAGCCGTTTTATAAGTTAAGTCAAACAATCGCTCAATCTTTCGATCAACCTTTCGACCAATCATCAATCAATTGAGCACTTAATCAATCGGGCCCTCTGTGAATCTATTGGTTAATGAATTAGTTAATCAATCAGGTCAGTCGTTTAGTCAATAGATTAGTCCATAACAATACTTACATCACCAACAAAGTATGGATGGCCCTTTCCGCATTCTAAAAATAAAAGGATATACCTCTTAGTGAAGTGTCGTTCAATAGTGTTTACTGATATCTGCGAAAAAATGAAATAGCTACAGAGCCATGCGAGACCGGAAATGAAATAAGCAGTGTAACAATACTTAAGAGACCGTCAGGCATTCAACATCGTACAGGTAGACTGGGGTTAAAATTCCGATCTAATAGATGACTTTCTTGTATATATATGACACATTTCTTCACCGTAATGTGTAAACTTCAGAGATCATGCACACCAAAATGACTACGCATCTCTTGCCTTCTCTCTGGATTTCGGCTTAATAGCGATTGGATAACCACCTAAGTAAGAAGTACGATACATACCATACCACTGACCATTCTGCTCTGTCATGGCCAAACGAGTCTCTTCAAAAATGTCTTCTGGCATTGTCGGGAGAAAAGAATTCTGCAGAATGGAGAGTGAGAAATATCTGTCCAGTTGTAGTACAGCTTGCGGGGAGGAAAGAACTCTACTAGTTCCTTTTCTAAGTTTTTTGTCTATTTGTCTTTTAGTAAAAAAAATGACTTTTGGGTTTGTTTGATAAATGAATGAAGACTTTCGACTTACCAGCATTTCACTTGGAGCGAGAACAATCTCCCTTAAAGGGTTTAGGAGCTCATCAAAACCGATGCAGCGAAGAACAGAGGTCACGTGAAACAGAATTTCGGGAAGAGCCTTTTCTGTCTCGCTCTGAGTCTCTTGGCCAACAAGGAATGAGAAGTCAGAGTTCTGAGAATTCTTCAAGAGATCTCTGACCAAATGTTGCATCTAAATGTTTAACAAGACGAATGTTTCAGAATTAGCCGAAAATTAGTTATGAGGAACCAAATTGTCGCGAACTTCACGAAGAGTACCAGTTCGTTCACTGTTACCTATGTCTATTATTAACTATCAAGAAAAAGTAAAAGGAAAGGTTTAGAGGCTGATCCAGCCTTGTCCAGACCTTTGGATATATTTATTCCACAAAGGGTATTTACTGAGACTCCTTCAAATAGAAGCGTGTCCATCCGAAACAAAGGCTAACTTAAATCTGCTGTTCTGAGTGAGAGAGCTTACTGAAGTTGCTCAGCCGGTAATGTCAAGCCATAGACTACTATTCTCCCTACGCTAAGGCCCTTGTACTTGGCGAATAAGACCTATGAATACCACCTGAAAGAGTTGTATAAATTCGTGGTATGTATTAATCAGCCCCTAAGGACATGATCCATAGTTGAACTTACACTCTGGGATATCATTCTCCTCCTATTCAGAAGGACGTCTCTTATCGCAGTAGCACATTTCTGATGAAAGTGAAAAATATTGTCGTAAATACCAATACAAGAAATCAACTTAAAGAACACGCGGTTCTTAAATTAAATTGAAAAACGAATACTGCAATTTGAAAAAGTGCTTACAGATAGCCTGAATAATAATCAAGGTTATTTCTTACTTCGTGGTGAAAATGCTGGTCTTGAGCCGACATTCTCTGCGGTAAAGTGATCTCTCGATACAAAGCTAGAAGCAGTACGATGTCCTTAGCCGTAGAATGCCCCGGAAACTCATATAATGCCTAACAATACATAGGAAGGTGCGTGAGTAAAACCCTTAAAGTTAAGGAACGCAAATCAAGCGAAAAGCTACACGTACAAGTAAAACAAAGTTAATTGCATTTCCTTTTTTGCTCTTTCAGGTGAAATTCCGGTGTAACCCCAGGTTATCCTTAGCATCTGAACATTTTCTTTGACTGCTTTTTCCCTAAATCTTTGGCCTCCATCTCTTAAGGCGATCTTTTTAAACTAAGTTCTCAGCATTCTCAGGTGTCAGAGAGGGGATTCACAAAGAAGTCAATAAACTTCTAATATCAAACCATGGGTTCACAAATACAGGCAAACTCAAAAGAAGTATAAAATGATCTGTACTCTTTTACCTCTAATGATACGACAAGCTCATGTGTGTCGTCACTCAAAATTGCTCTGGCTATCGCATCTCTTACTCCCCGGTACAACTCTCCATACACCAAGAACCTATCCAGATTCATCTCTGTGTCCTGTTTTGGTATTGTTATAAGTAAATTCAGGAATGTCTCCTTTAGTATTTTTCGCTTTTAAAAGGATAGAATAGTTATGATAAAGGAAGTAGAGTATGGGGCCAGTCAAGAGCATTTCGTTCAAACGTGGACAAGTAGGCTTGTACTGCAGTAGGTCGCAGTACTCAGTAGGGCATTGTCACGAATGAATTATGGGTATCTTGTGGGAAAGCAAACAACATAACTTGTCAACATTTTCATTCATTTAACGCAGTATGAGGGAGATTCATAAACCTACGATATGTATGTATCTGGAACATCAGAAACTGACATAAGAATAAAACACCCTACCTCTCTCCGCGAGAGTTCTACGGGTACGATCCAAGCGAGCTCTGGGTTTTGCGACACTGTAGAAATTGCGTGTCCCCCGTAACGTTTGACCAGCTGTTTGAGCAGAAAGAGAGCAGGGGAACTAAAATGAACCGACGTGCACAATGCCTGAACAGTCTTCAAGAGGAATTCCATTGCTCCAAGCGTGTCATCTCGGTGCCACTTTTCGTCACCGCTAACACAACTCAAATAAATAAACTGCGCAGCCCAACTTAGACTGGAGCGTGCTTTCGCTATCGCCTCTAGTGATTTAACCTCAATCTCATCATCACTGGTGGTAAGGTCTTTCTGTAAGATTTCAAGTGCATCTTGACAAAACCTATTGACGGTACCAATTTGCAAGTGGAGATCGAGGCTGACACCTGTGGCGAACGTCCTGTCACAGGAGTTCTGTGGGTTAAGAAGGCAGTTGAAAAAGATTTAGGGGTACACAGTAAGAACTAAAAAACATTTAATAATGGTTTTAATATTTTTTTGGATATTTGAAAAAAAAAAGGAAAGTAGTCGTCATTAAGTTATAACGCACTGTAACCTAGCTGTACCAAGTTACGGACAAGTTCGTGCTCCTGAAAAAGAGCTTCATCATTACACTGTAACGTGTTCTTTGAAACAAGGACAGATTTTCAGGTACCTCCATACACTGCACGGCAAGCAGGCAGACATTCAGGAGATGAGGCACTTCTGATGGCAGACCTTGAGCTTCGAAGAGGAAACGTTCGAGGTGGCTCTTGACTAATTTACCACTAAAGGAATATCACAGAAAACATTGATTTTTGAAGATGTGTTCTGAAAGGAACTCTGTTCAAAAGAAGAATAGCAAGGACGCCAAAAATCTGACCCAAGGTGAACATTAACATTTGTAAGTGATTCGAATGAGTAGTTCATTGTTCTCGTGGAATGCAGCTGCTATTGAAAAGAAAAAAACACTCCTTGGCGAAAAGGTCAATTTCTTTTCTAGAATCGCATGGAAGTTTCAACCAACCAAAGCAAAGAAGGTTAAAATATATGATAGTAATGATGAACGCAAAAATGCCACCGGCTGTAGAGGACTATTTTGATCTCTAACTCGTAATGCCAATGGCCAATACAGCCTATGGCGGCCGACCTATAATGATCAGATCTAATAAGTTTTATTGCTACTTTTAAGTTAATGGTGATCGCTAACTTGGAGAGTCTTGAAGCGTATCGCATTGCACTGGTTAAATAAACCAACTTACATGAGTCAAAACTAAACAATAGATACTTGTATTTCTGGTACGGGCCAGATCGAAGGCTGGTTTCAGGTAGAAGCTGTTAATTAGAGAGATACACACCTGGAATTGAGGAGTTGTTGCAAGAGGAATGATCTCTCAACAGGACTGCTGTCTGTTCCAAATTCAGGGAAAAGCGAGAATTCTCTCGTTTCAAAGGTAGATTGTGTCCCTGTAACATATCTCATAAGCATTTCAAATACGTCTGCATCCAAATTATGCACGTCGTCCCCAAGGCAAAACACTTTAATGATCTCCATCAAGAATGCGTTGCAACTTCGAAGGAACTTTGCAAACACTTTAGGGTCGTCACTTTGAATAAAAGCAGTATCATCGAACCTCCATTAGACGGTTACACAGTACCAATGGCCGAAAAGCAATACTGGGGAATCGAGATTCATCATAGGGTACAGATGTCGTCATCATGTTGAAACACCTTAATCGATTCAATTTCCTTTAAGCTTTCCTTATATCGACTTTTTCTTATTCCTCTCTAGTAAAAACAGCGAGTGTCAAGCCAAGAGACTGAATCCATCATAAATCCATTTTTATTATGATAATCCTACTTAAGTAATTTCTTGTAACTTTTGAAGGGGGTCGGCGGGTGGGGAAGGTACTTAAAGAACCATCTAGCGGCGAAAATTTTTCTCAAGTTGACACCCATGGGGTGTCCGCTCCTTCTCCAAATATTCATTCCAACAACGTGTAATGTCCACGAGCAACTGTTTTAGAGAGACCCAGGGGTAAATGTGAAAAAAATTTGAGAGATATGTCTTTTGATCAACCTCTGTATTAACAGTGCAGCCTTTTAGCTCAATCCTCCCCCTGAATTTTTCCTGACCTACGGCAACCATAACCTTATCGGCTGTAGACGCTATCTGTTTGGTTTACCAGAGACAAGACAAACCATGAACCAGGGACAAGCAAACAACATTCATTATAAGCAAATTTACTTAACTGCCACCGAAAGGAAAGCTAGCGACTTACTCTTGCAGTCGTTGTTTTACATCCTCTTTACAGCTATGCAAAACTCGTTCCAGAATAGTGAGGGACTTGGCCTTTGTGAAATCTGTTCCATCAGCTAGAGCCTATAAAATTATTGAGGCCTTAATTCATACTAAATATCTTTATAGTTATTAAAATAAAATATTTAAAAGTTATAGTAAATTGTTCTAACAGACTTCCAGAGCTGAACAACAGACAAATCGGAAACTATTACATTATAATTGAAAAACGAAACTGGAAAATCTCTTGCTTAGCACTTGGAGGTGAGCATGAATAACGATCTAGTACCACCACGATCGACAAAAAAAGTTGTATTCTTGTAGTGGCTTTCGTTCCATTAAATAGAACTTGGAAAGGCAGTTTTTCATTTCGTGGATTTCGATGGACTCAAATTATGTCTGGTTATGGTGCGAACCATTCAGTGATTCGATTGTAAGCTCCACTACTACAGTCAACGATGAGTATGAGAGCGATCTTCGCAAAAACGAACAACACTTAGGCAGTAGTGAAAATCAGACCTGAAAAAATTCAGGCCTGTACGGGATTCGAACCCATGACCTCTGCGATACCGGTGCAGTGCTCTACCAACTGAGCCAACAAGCCAACTGGGAGGTGGTCATTATGTTGTTTCGTAATAAACCCGTGAAGTGATGAGTCAACGTTTGTAAATAAATGAAAGTCATATAATTGAACTGCGGTTAAAGAACGAGTATGAGAGCGATCTCCGCAGTAACGAACACTACTTAAGCAGTAGCTAGTGAAAATGAGGCCTGAGAAAAATTCAAGCATGTACGGGATTCGAACCCATAACCCATGAAGTCGATTCTGTTGCTGCTTGTAACGTTTCAAAATGAACTGGTTGCTTTTTCTTTGACTTGGCGACTATACTAATTCTTATTTCCTCGCCGCAAACATCTGCTGGCAGCAATTCTTTTCCTTATATTCTCTAGCTAGCGCGGTAAATGTAACGTTATACAAGAATTGCCCAAGTATTTGTTCAGTTGTGAAGTTATATTAAATACTTTCGTCTGCCTGAATGAACGACGCTTTTATGCAGTTCTGATTTCATTCTATAGGCTATGGAGCCTCAAACCAGTCGTATTATATAAGATCTTGGATTTCAGATATCATTTTTCTTATTCCTTGTGCATGAGGAAGCTTACTTGGAAACCAATGGGCTTATGACTATGAGCTTCCCCCCTAACTGGCTAATAATACAGTAAATGCGTGGAATGTTATCATGGAATATGATAAGTTAGTCTGATGCGACAGTTACCTTCCAAAGTTTCAAAACATGCTGCACATCCAGTATATCTACTCCACCTTCGGAAGGATACACGTGTTCGATAAACATTCTCACCGCACTTAAACGTTGCCACATAGATCTAAAATTGAAGCGTAAAATAATCTTACGATATCATTAATAATAAATGTACAAGCAAAAATTCCACCCCGCTCATTGGTAGAGAAAACGTCAATTCTTCCCGTACAGTGCTGAAAGGTGAAATTGAGCGCTGAAAGACAGGGTTGGAAGCTACTCTGGAATGAATGAATTGTAATTTCGGCTTCAATCATTGGATCTTTAAACCAGAATAGCATCAAACCAAGTCTGATTGTCCACCTGGTTGATGTGTGAACTTAAATACATATGAGTGCAGAAAGTTGAAATTAAATTGATTGATTTTACAACAAAACAAAATGGCGGAAAGGTAAGGAGAAAGTAACAACGTTTTCATTCGAGACAAAAACACTCAACAAAGCACCAACAACTGACTGAAAGTCGACGGCTCTGAGGAAAGTATAGCAAAATAGGAACCGGAGGCCCTGAACAAACTCTCTGGGAGCTTACGCCGACAACAGTTCGTGTGTTTCGTGTAGTAATTACTGCTATTAAACAAATTTTATCTGTGAATTAAGAATGCAATTATTCCTGAGAATTTTTTTTTTTGCGGGAAAAAGCCCGAAGACTCCGATGACAACACAAAGGCAAGCGGCCGCACCAGTGAACCATATGCATAAACACGGCTGGGAGGAAATCAGAGTCAAATTTTTGTATGCACATATTATTAACAAGTAATCACATTGATTCGTCACGTGTAATTCGGGATAATATTTAGAACTTCTAAATTGTTGAAAGACTAACATAGCTTGTGTTGATTTATCTTAAATTTAACTCAAAATCATGTGATTATCTACATTAATTATATTGTAATATCTCAGTAACAGCTAATCTTGTGAGCTAGGGGTGAGAGTGGACTGTTCAGAAACAAAGTAAGCCCATTCATTCCGTCAGTTTTTGTGCTAACTTTGTAAAAAGGAAAATTATATTGACTTTACAAGGCTTGTTTTCGAAAAGTCCCCTTTGGGAGACTAAGGATTAACATAACCGACTAAATCAAGCCGAAAAATATCGTTTAAAATTCCTTGGTCGTAGAAGAACTTGAAAATTTCAAGCCAACCACATACCGACTAAATCAAGCTGAAAAGTATCGTTTAAAATTCCTTGGTCGTAGAAGAACTGAACTTGAAAATTTCAATCCAACCACATTTTCTCCTCAAACAAAGAAAGCTATCCGTGATTACTAGATCTTAAGGGGGTCATCTCCGAATCATCAAACCTTACTTAAAAAAGTTTACACATAGGTATATATTATCAAAAGTCTGGGCATTTGAAAAAACAACATTGTCGCCCTTTAACTTAGGCACGAGTTTGAGGCGATTTCTACAACCTCTTCGCTCGCTACAGGGGCGGGAAGATGAGAGACCCTAGGAACGAGGCTGCGATTTCTAAAGGAGTAATGATCTAGCCCATATAAAAGTGTCTGTTCCAATTTTATTTCTCGGTTATCTCGAGTCTTAGTTAACTTCGAAAATATCTTTTTAAATCCCAAAGAGTTACGTTTACACAAAATAATGGCTACATGTTATTTAAAGGGAACCGACATTAGCGATAATAACTTTACCACTAGAAAATTAAACGGTACCTGCATTGTATCAGCATTGACTGAGTCTTTTCTCCAACACGTTCTTTGCCTTCGGTTCCAATCTCACCGATCATTTCGTCCACTGGCATTTTCACTGACATAATAGAGTCACACCAAATTTGTCTCTGCGAGGAGGTCTTCAGATCCTCTGCAGAAGGTGCCATACGCTCCAAGTAAATTTGTAGAGCGGTAGCATCGACAGTCTTTGAAAAGAAACTAGTAGCTATTAGCGGAATACGAGATACACACTCCATCTTTCGAAACTTTTGTTGCAATAAAAGCGAAGTCTACAAGCTTGGGAGTGTATCACACTTCTGATTGTTTTCCTTAAAATAGTTTTAAGGGGTATGAATTGCCCTAAGTGAGAATCGAATCGAAACAACAGACCCACCTGCATACTTGTTAGAAAAACGTAAGCTGAAAGGCTTAAATGACCTGGAAAACATGTTTTTTTCAAATTTTGAAAGTGTACTGACCATTTCGTCTTCATCCAACGAAAACCTGTTTTGAAGGTCGTGCACAATTTCAGGTTGGGCCCGAAGTAAGAGCGATAGACAGTGAAGTCGATGTCGAATGCGAGAATGTCCCACATGAACCAGCGCAAAATCGATGATCAACGTCCCATGTGCTGACTGTCGTGGGGCACGAATCTCTTTTGCAGCGGCCCAGATCGCTTTTATGACAATCTGTTGGAGTAATGGTATGGTCACGGTATTACTTTATCTAAAGGTCAATTGAGGATAGGTGCTAAACTCCAGATTGTAATGATATTTAAAAGTAGGTCAAAGTGGCTGTAAGCCAAAGGAAAATTTTTACAGTGTTTTTATTTATTCTTTTCTTTTTACAAGTACTAACACGCGTTTACAAAAGGTTCATTAAAGTTGTATTTTGACACCTTATTCAATGGTAAAAAGTGTTCTAGGGTTCTTCCTGGTACTGGAATTAAAACTGGGAAGATTATTATGTTTAGGTAGACATGGTCGATACTGTCACCGTTTAAGTTTTATCAATCACAAAATTTTTTTACTGAATTTGAGTATGTGCAAATGTGGCGCTGCGTATTGGCTAGCAGACCGGAAAGCGAGAGTTGTGAGTTCAAATCTTTTTTTTTTTTTTTTTTTTTTTTTTTTTTTTTTTTTTTTTATCAACGAACATGTTCGTGAATAATAATAATAATAATAAAAAAAAAATAATAATAATAATAATAATTAACATGGGAAAGAAAGCATTTGCCTTTCTGATGTTTGTGTTTAAAAAATCATCTAGAGTAAGTTAATCAGTCGTCCAGCATGTCGATCGATTTCGACCACAAATATGCTAGCCTTTGTCGAGAGCTAATTCATCACCAGTATCAGATAGGATGACTGCGAAGGAAAAGCGATGACGAGTTTCCCTTACAATAGAATCGACTGGGAAGAACCTTGAAGTCTTCCCCTAACGGTCGTTTCTTAAATACGACTTGTATGTGTCCTGGTGTTACGTCCAGGTTAACCACTGGCAGGAAGCTACTTCCATCGAACAGCATTGAATTGGCATGGTTTAAAAGTGAGGACTTCAAGCTAAAAATCATACGCTATCGACCGTGTAGAAACGATGCACGAATAAAAAAACATTTCCTCTAAAGTAAATCATTTCGTGGATAAACCTTTTTCGACTTGGGCGTGTGCTACTGTCAACGCTTTATATACTAGTCAGCGGATTTGGAAAAAGTTAACGGGAATCGAAGGAAGAAGTGAATGTTCCATCCCTATCTATACTCATCTTAATGACTACGTCATCCGAGTAAAAGAACTTCATGGCTATGTCCAAATAAATTTGGGAATACTCTCTACCTCATCCGTTGATAAAATTTTAGGAAAGGACAAACTTTCTGAGCTTTGATATACAAGTAGTATTGGCATTTCTCTATTACCTCAGTCTCAGCTTCATCTTGAGGTTTGTTCACCATATGTGCAAAGTCATGCAAATAGCGGGCTACAGAATCTTCGCCCCCTTCTGAGATGGCGTCCGAAACTATCTGCGCCACGTTGGAGCCATCCAAAAACTTCCGTAAGCATTCAGTAACAGTCTCAAGAGAATTTGCTGTGAAATAATAAAAAAAAGAAGAAGGATTTGCCAAGTTTTATAATACTCCAAAGCTCAAACTTGCCTATGATCCACCAGGGTGGATATTGTTTTCTTGGTTTTGTTTCAACATAGTGTCAGATCTTCGAATTGTTTGCAAAATTGTTTGGGATCGACTAGGTGAAGGACAAGACAGAGGTTGGAAGGAAGCTGGTAATTTGAAAATTCGGTTCTTTATTCTATGTATCAAATAAATTCTTAAACCTCTCCCTCTTCCTGAGAAAGGAAGTCTCAGTGATGAAGAACACTGTTGTTGGGAAAGCATTGACTTAGAAGCCAATTTGTCAAACATTCTCATATCAATGGACACACACACTTCTCCCTTTCCGTTAATCTCACCTGCGATGCTTCTGGCCTCTCGATACAGCTCATCAATTCGTTCTTTGAGAAGCCATGAAAATGGAAACCTGCTCTGGAAGACATGCCTTCGATACCCTGATTTCAATACTGGAACCTTGCTTCGGACTTCATTCACATCTTCTTCACGTGTCATGAACATTCCATAATTAATAGTAGCAAGAGAACTGTCTTCAAGGACGTTTAACCAAAGTTTTGACATCCAGGTATCCTTGCTTGCAGCTAGCTCAAGGTTTCCGTCGCGGTCAACGTAGGCGATGACCTCTGCCAGGATAGGAGCCACAACAGACTGAAAACGACGCCAAAGTGCCTTTTTGAAAGTTCCATTTTCGTTTATAGTACACGCTTTGGCTACGTCCTCAAGCCACCTTTTCCCCTCTTCTAGTGCCCGCTTGTCTTTTTCTTGTAGTAGGACATGAATTCGTTTGGCAAGCACCTTCTCAAAGCGGTTGTCACATAGATCTTCTGCAAAATTAAGGATTAATATGATCAATCTGAAAGGTGTTAGGGATGAGCCTGAAATAAAAAAAAACCTCATTATATCTCTTAGTTAATACGAAGAAACACGTTGTGCCCTGCAGATTTCGGGCATTCAAAAAAAGAAATATCGACAAAAGAGTTACTTATATAACACTGCATCACAGTAGTCGCAGAAAACCCTGGTAAATTTGAATCGTTCTTTTCATGTAATCTTGAACTATGGATCTTAAACGAGTTTTTGAACTTTTGGTGACTCAAAGTCCATTTTTTATTGAAGCCAATAACATGCTTTCGTGCCTACGATTTGACGCGTATCAATCATCAATGGCCGTTCCGCCTGAATTGAAATATTTTTAATTCTATCTGAACTATGAGATTTAATAAATACCTCACTTACTTCTTTTTTCTCGGTCCTTACTGCAAGTTACAGAACCCACGGTTTTTTCCGCTCAATTTATGACCCTACGCTTTGTGCTTGGGCAATAAATCCGAGCGGAAAAAACTTAGTTCGTAACTTACAAGACCACCCTTGAACTCGGTTAGTAAGACGCGTTTATTCTACAATAAGTAAAGATGCTTCGACAGGATATTTATACTTTGCGACATCTAGATTTGAAAGACAACAGGAATGAATCCGAATCTTCCTTCTGAATAACGATAAAAAAATGCAACGACTATCGATATTAATCCTATCAAAATTTAATTTTTAGAATAAAAGGAAAAACCGACGTCAATCGATTTTCTCAAATCTTCCTTCCAATTGACTGTATGCAAACAGCGTAGCTCGAGATGTATTTGCAAAGACTATCAAACAACCAAGGTTTTTTTGCAGATAAATATTTGAGGAGGTTAGAGGAGGAGACCAAATCGTATTCATAACATAACCAAAGTAGAGCGCGCGCTCTGATTGGTCAATTCAGTGTCCACCATTTGCCCATGGGTGTACGCTGCTGACGTGAGCAAATGCAAAGACTACGTTTTCACGCTTGTTTTTTTTCTGGTCACGTAATATTTGTTGAATAAAAGGGAATTCTTTTGCTACAATGTATAAATGTTTTGTGTAAATCAAGTGGTAAGCACCACAGCTTACTTTATTGAGTCATGGATGCACTTGAGAGGTTTACTAAGCACTTAAGAAGGTAAAGTCGCTCTCGGCAACTTTCGTTCTTAGCAACTTCCCGCGTGCATCCATAACTCAATAGTGTACACTGTGGTGTTTACCAATTCTTAAATAAACGGTTCAGTTGACAGTAACTGCGCAGACGTTAAGTAAAATATTCTATAGATCTCACCAGCCTTCGTTCTCGAAGAAAATAACTTAAGCAACAGTTCAATTCGTCTAGTTGCCCTTCCAAGTGTCGATTCATCATCCTCAATCTTGCTGGCTGCTATCTGTACGCAACTTCTAAGAACTTGGCCAATAGTCAAATTGCTTCCTGTCTCAGTAATGGCACTCTCGAAAATTTCACTAACTGAACGATCCTTCAGTACTTCAACCGGAGGTATTTCTTCACTTGGAGGGCACAACTCGTCAATGTGGACAGATAACCAATTTTCACCCTGCACACTGACGAACTCTCGACAGCCCCCTGCCACTCTGGGCACCTGTACAATCATAACGATGTGACTGCAATCAGTGGCACCTGTACTTAGCACGTTTTCCATTTCCTTACACTCTTCGATGAGCAAATGACGAGCGCATGCTGTCAAATCCAGCATTTGTTTCCCGGAATCGCACTGAACGATTAACAGGCTCTCCCTGCCTCCCAGCATGGACCAGAAGTCTCTCCTACGAAACACACATTACATATTCGAATTTTAAGATGTATTGGCTATGTAAAAAAAAGGTTTCCTATTGAAAGAGGCCTATTGAAAATTGAAGGACAGATTTTTACCCTATGCAGTTTAAAAATTGCTGTTCGGTTTGAAACTGTTGCAGTGAGGCACACTTCACACTATTTGGAGGAAGCTGTACAGCAGCGGCAATGGTAGAAATGTCTTGTTTAGAGAGAAGTCGAGAGTGTGTCGATATCTGAAAAACAACAAGTGGAATAATAAAAATGTAAAAAGTGAAAGTGTGTTGTGATTGTCCGGGTGAGTGTAGTCCTGAGAAGGACTGGTGACGGTGGTGGTGACTGATATACAGAGTCAAGCCCCATACATTTGAGAGACTGGCAGAAACCTCGCAACAGGACTGAATGAACACAAACGGACGACGAGGAAAGGTTATGTCAACAATCACATTTGTTACGATATGTAAATGCATGCTCGAAGGCGTAGGTGTTAATTCCCTCGAGTCCTGTATAATCTTGTGATATATTAATTACTTTGATCGTGTCTTTAAAAGGAACTCGGTATTTGCATTTTAGTTTTCTCCTTTCGGTTTCTGCTTTTAGGTGTTGAATAAAGACTTCAAACAACATTGCCGAATATTGTCGATTTAAGAACCACACTACTGAGCGCGACTCTGTACGATGCCTAACCTACAAGACTAAATACCATTTACTGTAAAAAGTAAGAAATCATTCTCTGGTCGTATTTAAGTCATGTAGGGTAGATTTTGAAACCACAGGACTACGAACAAAAATACACACGAACTTTGGTGGAATACGCCATTTTTAAAGGTTTTCGGTTATTAGCGAGATTTTTCTTTGTTTGCAATTTCTTCGAGGATGTAAAACAAACATACAAACAAAAAGTTTGTCCACAAACATTCGCAACACCTTGCAAAACTTTCCAACAAACATTGGTATGACTCGTCAGAATTTAGAGCAAGGTCTCAAATTTATGTCACTGCATTGTAACAGTGATATTCAGTTGGAGTGTTACTGTGGATTATTTTAAACCAGGTATCGATATTGATAGATTAGATTGAGCTTAAATTTTAGCTGACGATATAAAAAACTGGTAAACGTTCTGGAATACATTTGCTCTTTTCACCTGAGCACGTAGTGGTACTTTAGCCACTTCATCGTCAGTAACCTTGACATCTCCGAGTACTTTTTCTAAAAAGTCTGCCAGGCTTGAGTGTTCCTGCTCGTGAAAGTACGTCGTCCATAATTCCTTTGCCTGTGACCTCAGACGCGAGGAAGAGAGACGGGTAACAGAGTCAGGGGTCGCACACTGTAGCAAACGCTCCTTACATGTTCTCAGCACCTAATGAAAACCAAAATAGTTATGCACACGGTGTTCGGTCGTCGACTCTTTGTCAGTTTTGGTAGAGAAAAGAAAAATATGTAAGGGAAAAAACAAGAACAAAATTAGCAGAGGTACTCAGTAATCAAATACAAACCTTCCATTTGAAGGGTTAAGAAATACTTTCATGACTGCACTTGGCTTTACAAAAGCAAGTAAAGACCCCGACAACGATCAAAGTGTTCTAATGCAGGTTCACCTAAGACACTTAAAATGGCAGAGAAAGTGTCAGAGTCCCTTAACTAGGGGCCTATGTTTCAAAAAATGACCCATTGTATATCCTTATGGGGATCTTCCAACCTGTTGGCTGACCTCGAGGACTCGCACATCCGTGCTGCCAGAATGATTCACAACATCAGTATATCTAACCCAAAATATGAAGTACTCAGCATGGAAAAATGGTCATCTCATCATTTTATGTATAAGAGAAGACTCGCCTCTATTGCATACCAGGCTTTCAACAACTTAGCTTCTGATGACATTAACAATTTATTTACAAAGCACAGAATTCCATACAATTTAAGAGATAATGTAAGATTGGAACTTGTGAGCTCCAAATCCAAAGCCTTACATGATTCCTTCACTCATCGTTCTAGTATTGTTTGGAATTGCTTACCTAGCCAATTAAAGTCCAAGCCTAGTTACTCTTCTTTCAAGGCTAACATTAAGAAATTCTCAAAGTGCATTGACCAAATTACTTTTGGCACAACCTCTACTGCAACCAATAAATACATTGATGAATTTATATATTATTAATGTTCAGTTTATCATCTGTCGTTTTGATTGGTCTTTCTTATACCTTTCATTTGCATTATCTAAATTACGTCATTTAATTACTATTTATATATTTATTTGTACAGTCATTTCATGCTTATCTATTTATTTATGTATTACTGGTATTTATAATCATTAATATTAGGATATATTTTTAGATGTAAATATATTAGATTATAAGTAGATAGCAGGTCCACATCAGCAACTGCTGCTATCTACTCAACCTGCTTTACCAAATAAAGGATGCATGTATGTATGTACCCAACTATTGAACATCTTCAGTTAAAGTTCAACCGGATCTTCGGTATTTCTAGGTGAATATAACGTGTGCACTTGAGTGTTAATCACACAAGAAATGAATAAGATATTATCATGATCGATAATACTGGTAGCTAAAAATATTTTTCACGATTCTTTTCTCTCGCGGTGCAACTTACGTTTTCCTCCCAAGACTCTCTTTCTTCGTCTGACAAAAATTCTCCGTCGTTATGGACCTCAGCACAAACTTGCAAAACAATAGCCGGGACGGTGTCCTCGTGGTAACCAATAAAGGCCTCTCCTTTTGAGAAAGTTCTTCAAAAAGCAAGTAAAACAATGAAGTATGTTAGCTTTGCTTAATATCACCCATATCATAGGAAAGGGAGCATCAATACATGCCTCTTTTGCCTTCTCTTGCTTGGAACAACCAAACTATATGGTTTTTTTTATGTTACAATATAACTGTGCAATGCAATGCTGCAATGATAAAATACGTTTTAATCTCTGACGTGAAACATGAGTTATTAAAAAATAAGGTACATGTCAGTATATTTCAGTTGCGGCGTGGTCGATCAGAATAGTGGAGGTAAGGGAAAAAAAACAATATACATTGGAAACTAAATCCCTAGTTACCTCGGTTTTTGGTGAGGAAGCTGAAAGATGTCAGCAAAGTTGTCCACCCAAACTTTTAATTTCCTGGTCACTTCTTTCTGTGGTATAGTGAGTCCAGATGACATTACAAGGAAGTGTTTCTCCAGGCGGTTTATTAAAGGGATGGGGAACTTATTGTAAACCACGTCCTTTGCGGCGATGACGATTAGCCTGTTTATAATATGGATTGAAAAAGGTTTATTATGAATTACAAGTAGCTGTAACTAATAAGTATCACTGAAAAGCTGGCGACGAAAAGCGGGGAAACCCTTAAATTAAGTCAGATTCATATAACTCAAAATTTGCAGGGGAGCGTAAGAACAAAACGAATGAGAACTTTCAAGTTAAATCCCTGTAGATTCTTGCTTTTGGAAAAGTCCATCAAAGTTCCTCAGTAAACATTTTGCAATGCGGTAGTTCAAGTATAAAGTTTAGTGCCTAAACTTGTTGGTACGCAATGATGGTGAGTCCCTAACAAACAAACTGTGCAATCAAACTCTAGTCGATACTTTGCACGTTAGAATTAGAGCCTAAAGAATCTGTTTTTACCTGAAGTTTTTGTGAACGCGGCATTTGACTCGATTATTCCCAAGCCCTAGATCGACATACTTCTCTCCTCCAAAGGTGACGTAATACTAAAACGATAAAGTTGGTGTCAAATAAAAAGCAAAGCCAATGAAAATTAAAAATCCAAGAAATACGAAAAAATCAACAATGCGTTGTGCATATTACCTCCCATTTCCTAATATACAGGATTTACGGTGACAGTTTAATCACGACTAACCTGATTTAGGACGTCGTAGAGGCTCTCATAGAGGTTTTCAAGATTGAGCAGAATCACCGTTCTACCTGTCTCCATACACATCTTAATCCGGTTGATGTTGCGGCAAACCTGTGCAAAGTATACCGATGTGATTACACCACAACAAAGGGAAAAGGATTATAACAGTTATTCCATATTTTCAATCAAATTTAAGCACACACACGAAGACATGAATGAGAATGAGAAAATCTTCGAGTTGTCCAACAACAGTTTGGTTTGATTGAGCAAACTGACAATCAGCCATATTTTTCTTCAAATATGGCGCGTTTTAAGGTTGTCACAAGAATTTCCGTATTGCAATCTGTAACTTTTAATTAAATATACCATTACATTCGTCCTGGGCCAATCAGTATCTGATAAATACGCAAATAATTTCTACCTGGGTGAACAACTGATCTTTTGGAAACCCACTGCCAAAGATAACATATGGCTCTTCTTTATCTTGCTCTAACAAGAGCTGTTTTACTCTTGGAAGAGCTGCAAAGTTCTCAGTCATGATAAGGAGATATCTTCCCTCTCTGCGAAACATAGAAGCACGAAACTTAACAACAACAAATAAAGACAAGAGATTACTACTTTGCTTTCCTTAAATAAGTAATAGTTCACTTCTAAATGGAGCAGATGGGTGAGGAAACATGGAATACTTGACCATCATATACAATTTTAATCATAAAGGTAAGCATCCATGTCCGTTGGAAATACTTTCCACATTTTACATGCATGAATGTTCAACGGGTTAATTCAGCCGAATATTCATGATCGTATTAAAACACACTGAATAGCACGGAGAAGATATTTTTGTATTTGTACTTATAAAGTGCGGTATCGGGACCTACCCCATCACACTATCCCGGTTTAGGCTTTCCCGGATAAGCTCTAGAGACCCGTCTTCCATGAATTCATCTTCATCCTGTAAGTGAAGAGTCCATTCTTATGGTGAGGAAACAAACGGACCATAACTTCGGCTATGTAACAACTATCACCAATAAACAAAACGTCTGTGCAAGGAATCGTTGGAAATTTTGTTTAAGGTACACCTTACTAAAATGTTGAAAACAAAAGAACAGTATTTTAACCTGCAAATATTCCTCTCGGACAATATTTTCCATGAGAATTTTAACAGGCTTAAAATCCTCTTTGTTGTCCACTAAGCCACTGAAATTTCTCTTAACGGCGTGTTCGAGCTCCTTCCCGTTTGGTGGACGTTTCTCTTTCGAATTCTTTGCAATGGAGACGATCATCTTTACAAGACTGAGTTAAAACACAAGCAAAAGAAAATTACCGCAAATCACTTATAAATTAATCGATTAAGTAGCTGTAATCAACGCTATCAAACCTGTAGAAGTCCCGAAGTCCAAAAAATTCGTCTTTCTTTCCTTCTTTCAGTTTCCTCAATTCTTTCTGTTTGTCGTAAAGCTCTTTGTAGCCACAGACCAACGAATTTATAAGGGGTTCTATATGAGTCACGATGTCCTTATCACTTCCACAAATACCCCTACAATGAACAATTGATAAATTAAATCAGCGGGGAAGAACCTGAGGTGAATGTCACTGTGACTGGAACTAAATCTCGCAATTGCTAATGTGTTAGTTCGAAAGCAGAAACACGAAAATCGCGTGACATTGCCTCTTTACTGTTATCCTCGGTGACTGACTTCCCGTGACCAGCTAGGTCTTCTTTTTGCTTCGCCTTAAGAGACTATGTTTTCATTCTAAATTGTCAAACTAAGTCGATTACAAATAATGTACAAAATTAAAAGCTCTACCTTGCGGTTTCCACTAGTTCGTCTTCGTCAGGCTCATTGCGGCAAAGCATTATCCCGCGGTTCATTTTAGCAGGGTCCAAGGCCCAGTTAGACAGACCAATGAAAGCAACACGTGCAAAATTCTTTCCAGTCTGGATCACAAACGCGTCACTTTGGTCATCGTCTTCCAGGAGGGGATGTAGAGTTTTTAAGGGCATTTGGGGTGAGTCCTCCGCCAGTCCTACTTCATCTAGCACCACCACAGAAGCAAACGTGTCTGAAGTGTTTCCCTCGTTTTTACTTTCCTGCAGTTCACTGCATTGTTGAAATGTTGCCAATATTCCCTCAGGGGTAGACTGTGGGCTACACTGATATGATACCAACTGAATCTGTTAAAAATGTTAGGAGACACGTTACTCCGCGTCCTATGCACAGACAACTAAGTTTAGCCTTAATCACCAACTACGGTAAAAAATAATTACAGTCCCATTCCCAAGATAATAATGAAAAAAAATTATGGATCAAGTTTCAAATCGGTGATTCAAAATAATTGGAACCTTTTAAGAAGCTTTAGTGTCGGACAGCCCTGCATGCTTTGCTCATACCTGTTTAAAACGTTTGAAAAGGCCATGTTTGGATCTTCCTCCCTGCATATTGTCCGCAACAACAGTCTTCGCTAGTGATTTAGAGCTGCCCGGCTTACCGACGACGAATAATGGGATCCTAAGCTCAATACACACCACCATCATGAACACATTTTCTCTTAAGGCCTCATTGCAGGCGATGTTAGGTCCAAGTTCCAGCTGTTCCATCAAAGCTTCTTGACATCTTTAAATAGAGTTACAGACACCATTTAATTTTATTGTGACTACCTTGATACGACTGATTCGATCCATACTGACTCTCGTGGAATGAAAAAAAAACGATAAGCTGTTGTCAAATGATATACTTCCGGTCATTACACGTGTTCCCGAAAGTCTAGTTTTCAGCAAGCTAACTAGATAAATAAACGCCTTTATTTCACAGGCTTCCTGGGCCAAGAGTCGCTAAACTTCTCAGTGATTCATGGGAAACTCCGGGTCCATTTGGCTGAAAACGCTCATCCTTAACTCAGGCTACAAATACATATTTCTAATAGATTCTTTATCTCCTTTGGCTAAAAATTGTAATAATTTTTGGTGACTGTTGCTTCCCTTTCACCTAGAAGCTTCATTTTAGAGTAAACGATATCATTTAGATAATATCGTTTAAGATTCAATATTACCGATTTATCTCCCGTTCAATCCTTGCAGCTCCGCCGGGAAGCCTGCATGGTGGTCGAAATGATTTTGCTACTGCCCCGCGGAATTCTTTCCTCTCTGTTAATCGTGCTTGGTAACAAATACCAAGAGCAAGAATCAAAGACCAAGTGAGCGGGTCAATACTGTCGCTGATATCACCCTGAAAACAATTAGCGTTCGAATAAAGTTTCACTCTGAACAATAGCCTCTCTTCGGTAGGTTTCATTGCAATCAATCACAACCTTTCTATTATGCACTTGTTATTAAGCAAAGATTTTGAAAAAAATGAGTGGATGGAAGGGTATAACACATGAGGCTGTGATGGTCTTTAACGTTAAGAAGAGTAGGGCTGCAAAATTATAAAGGAAAAGAGCAAATTATATCTGTTGTCTATTGCGAGGACGGTACCAAGAAAACGTTTAGCATCGGAAAAATTGAAAACATAGCACTAACAGGAGACATATACAATTGCTAATTACAAGACTTTTTACGTTTGTTACAGAATCGTTATGAGTAACATGGAGAACAGTGCTTACGATTTCTTCTCCAAGCGGTACAACAAAGGGTTCTGGGAAGTTCAATATATCCGGAGGATTGGCCCTTGAAAACACTTGCGAGGGCTCACACTCTGCAGAAGCTGTTTCCTTTAAAGCAAAAGAGAAATTTGGCTCATACATGGACTTGCTAACAGAGGGTCGCTCTTCTCTTCCTCTTTTGTCTGCATAGTCGAGCATTTCCAGAGGAACGGCCCTTGAAAACACTTGCGTAGGCTCGCCCACTACAGATGCCGTTTCTTTGGAATCACAAATGAACTGACTAACTGTAGGTCGCTCTTCCCCATTTCTTATGGAATTAACTTCTAAAACGTGATCTCGGAGACTCTGTCTGGCGTCTTGAATTGTCGTTGTAGTTTTTTCCTGACCGCATTGGTCGTCTTCAGAATCAGAAGGAGTTCTACTGACATTAGTTGAGACTTCTTCAGATTCAGATTCACTCTCATTACTACTTTCTTCTTCATTTTCACTTTGCTCCTCTTTCATCAAATCAGAAAAATCTTGAAAGTGTTGGTAAAACCAAACCATGACCTCCATGGCTCGTTTAACATCACGTAAACTCACAAAACTACACTCATCCTGAAATAAAATGGAACCATGTTGTAAAATTATAAGGTTATGGTTGAAATCTTTCTGTATATACCCCACAGGCGAATGGAGCTATTTGTGTGCGATGATTGGTTGGTTCGGGGATGATTAGCCATTAATAAACCCAGAAAATACAGCAATATCATCCACTTAGCACTTTATACATCTACTTCGTACCAAACTGTAGTGAGTTACAATAAAAACTGCGGGAAGATATTTTTGAAAAGGCGCAAAATGTAATAATTGAAATGGTTTGCATTAGTTAAAAGATTATGGAAAAGTAATAAGACTTTCAACAGATACATTAGCAAAGCACCTTTTTATTTCTCATGAATTGCTGGGAGGCTGTTAAAACTGCTGCTATGGCGATAACCCAGTTTTCATCTCCCGGAAGACGACCTTCACGTACCTTTAAAAAGATGCAAATATCCTTTAATTGAAAAAACATTACGTTCAGCAAAAAATTTGAGGGGAATTCATAATTGTGAAACTGTCGAGATTTTGTCTTTCTACTCGCAAGATTTAAAGAAAGGAGATGTTAAAAGAATTGCCGCACAGTGTGTCTATCTTAAACTGTTTAGGCAAAGCCTTTCAAACCCGTCTTTCGCAACCTTTGCTATTCTCCGCTGTCCGTAACCGTGTAAGTAACTTCTGCTACCATTTTTGACGTTTATCCTCATTACCAAGATATCTTCTTTAGGGTTTTCAGTCTTTCCCTCTTGGTAACTTTCTTGGAGATTAAAATTATCCAAAATAATATGATGTGACTCATTTTAACATCAGAAACGAATAGTATATAGACGAAAGGGAATACCAACTATTCTCTCACTTCAAACGCACTAGAATACATCGCGTTTTTAAACCATAAGGACATCTGCTCACATATTTTCCAACAATTTGACGAGTGTAAAGCTCTTCCACTTCCGCATTCAACTGCCCAAAATCCCACACAAGACTGCGCATGCTTTCTGGCAAAGCATGCACTCGATAAACAAGGTGACGCAGCGGAATTCCACCTATAAAATTGCACAATAATAGTAAAATCAACTAAAATGGTTAAATGATGTCATCTTTCAAGCCCTTTCAGCTCAATATCTTACCGAGGCGTTCAGTAGTTTCATCCGCCGTGATGTGATAGCCCAATCCTGCCGTCTCTAGTTTATGTATCATTTCTTTCGTATGCCTGCCGAAAAAGACCTTTTAGTCAGGCTTTGCCGTTGTTTAATGATGCATGAACAAAACTATGTAGTGGGTCAGGTTTGCCTGACAATTTTCCATCATCCATCGATCTAATTTTATAATCACCGATTTCATAGTGTCAGCACTAAACTTACTTCCGATATGGATTGCAAGCCGCAACGAATTTCAGATTGTCACGCAGGGGACGACCATTACACCTTCGATCCACCATAATCTCTTTTATCATTCCCAAAGCGTCAGTGGTGTTCGCCTCATCAAAAAACAAAATGGTGTCCATTTTTTTCCCGCTAAGTTCATTCTTGTCAGCCACTGTCTCAGCGTGAAGTACGTTTCTTTCAATGTCTTTGTAAGTGGTGCCGCCATGGATCTAGTGAAAACAGGCATCAAGTCTCGCGCGTATTTAAATAAACCTCTTCCGGTTTAAATGACATAGAAGCAGAGTTACAGGCCGAGATACCGAACCCCTCATACTGGTCTTTATCCCCGAAGCTGTACGGCTTACGTGTTGTTAGATACAATTTTCTAGCATGCTGTTTGGGTGTTTGGGCAGTTCAAGGGTGAGGAACGAATTAACTCACCAAGATTTGATATCTTGACGAAATATCGTAACCTTGGAATGTTATTCGAAGACCTTCGAGAATTCCTAAATTCAAGTATGAAACTACCTATGGAAAAATTACAACCTGGGGGACTCAGTATCTGATCCTTAATCTGAAGGAGTTTCCTTCTTTTCGTACGACAAATAGTTGCGATAGAACTAATATCTCTCTACAAAAGACCGTAAACAATAGCAATAACAAAAACTGATAACATGACTGAAGGGGAACCTAAATATTAACTAAGAGGATGTGGGTCATGCTCCCATGCTATAAACTCATTATTGAGTACTTGATTTCCCTTTTGGGACAACTCTACTCGGGGAAAATTCTGAAACCCACACCAAAGGATATGCATTTTGGTACCGACTTTAAGGTACCAAATTATTACAAATATTAAAAAACTCTCCATAACCTGTTAATGTATCTGTTGCCTTCACAAGTGAAACAACCCTTTTTTAACTCTTTAACCAATTCCGGAAGTTTCCTCCAAACGGAGATTAAACTTTTATTGTATGTTACCAAGCTGCGTAGTTGCATTACACAAACTTATAAGTTATTCATTAACAGCATTTCACTTCAAAACAGGAGATATTTTCTATGGTTGTACCTTCATTAAGATCATATTTCTACGTTCTGCCACCTCTCCTTCAGTCTGTAGTCCGCACAAGTATCGAATAAGTCTTGTCTTTCCACATCCTGTTTCACCCATGATCACAACTGGGATATTACATCTGAACCTCATATGGATGGCCAGAATTTTCTTCACATTATCACCCGTTAGTTCGTATGACTCATCCGGGTCATAACCACACTCGATCCCCATGACAGAACACAGCAATTGAATTTTGTCACCCCTGTAAAGAGAACAATCATAAACCTCTATTTAAACTGCATTTGAACCAATAAGATGACTCACTTCACATAAGAATTATTTTGGGAGGGCCGTTCATGTCATCACCTGGCAACTGTGACAAGTATTAAAAAAAAAAAAAAAACGCTCTACCGTTATATGGGTTGTGCGCCACGAAAATGGAACCTTAAGGCAGTAGTGCCTGATTTTGAACAATAGAATTTAGGACAAAACTTAAGGATGATTGAACAAGGGAGTCAGTACTGTTATAAGGAAAATTTTAACGTGTAATTCCTGTCGGCTCTTTGAATTTCCGATGTATGCAGCGAAAAGCATTTCCTTGAAAAGCGCGGAAAAATTTTGACAGTTTTACAAGTACGAAAACTGCACCGCTAGTGGCTTAAATTTAGCTTGCACTCCACAGAAATAACTTGTATGCAAAGCCATTGATTAAATTCTTCAAATGGTTGGCACTAGATACCTACTTCGAATACGACTCAAAGTCGTTGTCCAAATCCACTTTCTGCACATGAAGTCCCGTTCGAAGGGGTCTTGATATGATATTTCGCTCAATGATCTCTTTGGTTTTGGGATCCAGAAGATTTCCATCTTGATCAACTTGGAATCCCAGGAAAGTCATGGTCACATGATCCGGGTTAAAAAATATGTATGGATGAGGGCTAAGTTTAGATGAGAAACAAGCAGGAATTACTAGGGTTAAAATCTTAATTTTAAAGCTCACTTCAATAGAATGGGGTAATCTGCAACACAAATGGGGTAATCCATAAATAGGAACGTAAGTTTTACCTGTTCTCCCATCGCCTTCGCAGTTGGAAAGGAACAATGTCTTGCTCCTCGTATGATTTGGCAGTTTCCTCTCGAGAGTCCTCAAATGCATGGTCTTCTTTGTCTGTCAATGATCGCATTGCAAAATCCTGATACAGAGCGACTCAGTGTAAGCAGTACTCAATGATGTTTGTTAAAGCATGTATCTGCGACTATTCAATGTTTACCGCTGATATAGCTGTCTTTTGAATACTTTTCTTACCTCGGACATAATTATCATAAATTTGACCACAAAGGTCTTGAATCCTTGCAAGGTGTCGTCAGTTAACAACGGCTCGCAGAAGGTACTTTCCTCACAGTCCCTTAGTTGGTAGTTCAAAAAGTTCACGAAATTACGAAGCTCTGACCAGGATGGGTTCGGTACTCCACAATTCCTAACAAACGTAAAGACGCTATGAGTACTATAAAGACAAAACGGCAAGAACCTTCAACTTGTCATTACACTCACAGGTATATTGAACGTTTTCTTAAACAACGAACTTTAAAGAAGCGCGTTGGAAACATCGTTCGGCACTGTTAGCACCCAACAAAAAGAAAAGGTGAAAAAAGACCCAAGGATTAGGTTTTCGAAAGACCATCTTTCTCTTAGACAAATGACTTAACTCGCATAATTTAAGTTGCAAACCTTATTAGCGTTTCAAGACATTCTACTGGTTCCTTGCGTTTCCTTTGAGGGTTAAAGCAGTGCTTCTGGATGCGCTTAGGGTTCGTTTCAAACAAGTGAAGATACCACCAGACACGCTGAACTGCGTCGCTCAGCAATTCTTCTTCATCAAAGGACGGGCTAATTCCTCCTTGCTCTGGTAAAAATACACGTGTAACTAAGTTGTAAAAGTGTCATTAGAATTCCTCTACACTCATTAGGCAAACTGAAAATCGTAAAAATACAGTAAATATTACGTTAGCTTTTACAACTACAACACATGGAAAGCAAAGGGAAAGGATAAAAATTCCCAACTTAAATTTTATTCCGGGTCAACACAAAGCTGTAAATGATATGAATCAAATTCCAGTTCATCCTCCTCATAACGCAAGTTGAAGAGTACACCGACCTAAATTTGTACAAACAATTTTTAATTTTTAGGTGAATCAAGAATAAATTTAAACCTACCATGGCCTTTCCTCAAGTAACTAATAGTGTCTTCCGGAAGACAACATCTGACTTGCGGGAGAAGCTCATGAAACTTGCATGCCCCTGACTCTTTTGGCTTCTATTTATTGAGAGACGAGAGAAAAAATCCGCAAGTTATTTTCCTTTTTAATACATGGGAAAATTTTGAAAGTAACCAAAACCTGGGACTCATTAGACGATTTTTCAAGTCGAACGAAGCGATAAGGCTCTTTGTCTGTTTCCAGGCTTCAGTGTTCAAATAAAACCATCCGATGTGTCAACACCTTAATAGTACATAAGAAAAAAACGATACCATAGAGGTAGAGTGAGTAATTTCCAAGATATACAAGTCGTAAGAATTCCTCCTCCAAACGCGCCCACAGTCATCTGTCAGCTCACCCAAGATCAGCAAATTAAACAGCAGTGTTTCAAATTCTGGCGTGACCTATTGAAAAAGCATACTTTTAGGAAATCATGATATCTGCCTACTTTAATTCTGCTCGGGTATTCATCATCTCGAACTACCCAAAAATGTGAGTAGACCCCTCCCAGCTGTGAACACCCTCCTCCCTCCAACTGTGAAGTGTATATTGTGTCTGTGTCCATCCTCGCATGTCTCTCCTTTGCTTAGGAAAATAAGGAACGTTAAATAATTTATTGCTCCGGTTGAAGAAAATGATAATTGTCATAAGATGGCGAAATCGAGGCTCTGATAGAGTTGACCAAATCAGTTAACCAAGCGAAGACCTCGAGAAACAGTTTTTCTACGTTTAAATTCGGGACTAGCTTGAGTATAACAGGAATCTCTTTAACGAAGCAGTTAGGCTTGCTCTTAAATTAAACAAACAAATGAAACCTATTACTCAATTTTGCAGGAAACAAGTCGCTGTGCTCATTCTCGCAATGCATATTTGTAGATCATGAAAGTTGACAACTTAAAAAAGTAATTAAAACCCTGCACTTACTGTGACGTTGCTTCTCGAAAAGAATATCGTCAAAGTGAGCAGTGATCTCGGTGATTAACAAATGGTTCAGTTGATTATTAAAATAGTGTAGAATTAATTAAGAAGATAAATCTATTTTAAAAACGCACCGCAGAGGAACGGTCGAGGTGAAAAACCCTGGACAAAGGTAGATCTGAAGGGAGAGCATGGGGTAGAAAGAAACCAACAACATCTGCGGCCCGTGAATGTTTTTCGTGGAAAGGAATTGTCACACGCAAGAGAGGTGGTTTTTCATACTCCTCGTCCATTGTCTCGACAACAAGCCGATTGTTCCGTAAGGCTGCCACCTCTTCGGCCAACCTCTGTGCCACCAAACTTTTTCCTACTCCAGAGTTCTCAGAGGATACTACTCGAACGTTTAAGCTTAAAAAAAAAGGTGCATGCATCGTTCAGTTAGTGAGCATAGGACATTGTTCGCCTCCGAGAAAGAAAAAGGCAGGTAGTTCTTTGAATTTAACGAAAAAAGAAATATAACTCCATTTGGTCAGATAGTTCACCCCATTCCGGCTATCATCAGAAATAAATGGTTTAGAATTACTGAATTAAAATGCATCAGATTTTGCTTCAATCGTACAGAGGGGATTGGAGTGTGGACTGAAGGTTTTGACGCTAATTGTCCCTTGGGATATTATTAGTTTCGTAACCTGCAATTTTCGCATAATCTGGTTAAACATCCTTATCTCCTCTGAATATCATGCATCTTTTAGAGCGCTGTACGAACACGCTTCTCGTCTCTCATTCTCATCCATTTACAGTATATCTGAAAAACATTAAAATTCTTACTCCATTAACTACGAAAGGTTTCGCTGAAACATGACGAACGCAATGTCTCTGGTTAAAGCGATTGTTACAAATATTAAATTTTTTCATCCTGTTATTTGAAATAAGATATAGAGATAGACCTACTTGGCCGCTCGACCAACTTGTGCAGCTGGACTCCAAATAACTGGCTTCTCATGATATTCGCCAGGCCTTTGCTCTGGCACTCTAAGCTGTTTCTCGAGGTACCTACGGAGCTCATCTGGTCGAGGATATCTGGGCATTGGTACTTTGTATTGTTCCAAGCAGGAGATTATATGAGCTCGCTCTTCGTTTTCACTACTACATAGAACAACAAGGGCCAAGTCTGAAGATATTGAAATATTAAAGAAGGTAAATAAGGGGACGCAAATCTTAAGTTTCCTTACGTTGATTTTTTACGTTTTCTTTTCAGCAGCCGCTGTTAGTTTATCAAGGAAAAGGAAAAAGAAACTGAAGAAAGAGCTTTACAAAAAATATCTATGTACATCTCTTAGAACATACGAAAGCACCAAGCCGAGGCGAAAATTGTCAAGCAATACTTACTTTTGGGGTGGGAATAATCTTGCATTAATGTGTGTAAACTGTCCACCACCTTTTGGCTGACATCATAGTCTAACACGTCGCCATTCACTAGACAATGCAATTTTTTTCCATCGCTTACCAGGGCTCGACGCCATAGCAACTCAACCTAGACAATAGTTGACCATTGTGAATGCTTATATCATTTGAATCACCCAAACGTTTCTAAGAGGCCGATGGGTCCCGTTACACAAGTCGCCCGAACAATAGAAATAGTATTTTATGAAATTTCCGCTCACGGGTGACTTGATCAAAGGCTTTTCTGCTCGCACAATGTTTAGGTTACAATGAATGTTCACTTCACCGACACCACTATTACCTCTTCGGGTGTTGTCTCAGAGGTGCACACAAGAACTTCGTCACTCTTTGGCAAACTCTGAGCTCTCTCTTCCATATAAAGGTTTAGAACAGCAGCAAATATTTGTTCTACAATGAAGAGAATTGCAAATAAACAAATTAAAAGATGACCAGGATTAATGGACAAAATAGAGATAGGGTAGGTTAAAGTTTAAAAAGAAAAGTTGGTAAATGATAGGTGATAGATAAGTTCCAACTCATTCAGATAGCTATCTTTTGTAAAAATATTGTTACGGCAGTATTTCTTTTTTAAAACCAGTCAAATGAATATCTAATCTCGTGACTTTTAATGCACTTAAGAAGAAAATAAAACTCTATCTCCCTTTCCAGTACATGCGGCCTAGTGAAATTCGCGCAGAAGAACTGGTTAGTTGGTATCTAGTCAATTCGCCACCACAACAAACTGGCCGCCAAAAATTGATAGCGATTTGACTCAAAGGCTATGCGTAGCTTAGTTATGGGTATGTAAACAGGAAAAGTTGTAATATCAAGAAACTACTCCGGCTAATCTAGCATCTTCATGACTTACCCTCGCTTACGAGCACGAGGTTTGGGTGTCCTTTTTTCAAGTAACTTGGAAAAGCTCGTGTTTCAGGACTTCCTCCTATAATGAAGAAAAGACACTTATGCAATGGCTGCTTTATATCACAAATCTTCTTGAAAAATAATCATGGCCCGTAAGACATATCCCTGCCATAATTTTATTGAGAGCAGGAGCTCACATTTTACGATGATAAGAAACTAAGATAGAAATGAGTTCTTCCTCCAAACTATTCTCATAAAAACCTTGTAAAAGTGCCTACCAATTTCTGAAGTAATCCTAGGTAAAGTTGTTAAAAACTCAACCAGAACTATTCTTGGGTGCATGGAGAGAAAGTTAAAACTCGATTGAAGGCAACATGAGCTATGACTAATAAATCATACAGTATACGAATACCGTTTTGGGCTGCCAAGCGGGACAGAAATACCCCCATTTCTTCCAGACTTAAGAAAGTGCCCCCTTTTGTTTCGTCCAGGTTCGGCTCGTCAGGCAAGCTCAACTCATCATCACTGCTTCCTGGTACACTGCCACATCAACAAAAAACAACAGATGCTTGAATAGTTGCTGAAGAAAAACTTGAAAACGGCTTAAGTCACAAAAAGTTGCAACAAAATAAAAAAAAATGACAGTATCTTTATTTCATCATGTCGATTGTAAATCGAGCACAAATTTCAAGAACGCTAACTGTATGTACCCTGGTGTCCCTTGAGGTAGATCTAATCAATTTCCTCCAATTTCATCCGGGTAAGATTACATTGACACTTCCTTAAAACATTTAGAATTTTCTGCTGGGTAAAATTTTTTTTTGTTTCCTATTGATTGGACTATATGACCGGACACAGCAATAGCACTACAAAAATCCTCGCTAAAAGCCACTCAAGCTGTAAACAACAATTACGCATTTTGGCTTTCAGATACAGTCCACACTCCTTTGAAAGAGTTAAAAACTCGGATTGTGCAACTTGAAAACCTCAGCCTAAATTTGTCAATTTCGTAATTTGAATCTCTGATAATTTTTTCCATACTAAAACATCATCGTTAATTATGGCCTAGTTATCCGGTCTTAAAAAATATCATCCTGTAGTTTCCCTCTGCATGACGCAGAAAACGACTCAAGTTATCACGATGAGCAGATGTAACTATTTAACAGTTCGAACAATCAAAATTATTAGCAATATTTATTCAGTGGTTATTTTATAATTATGTATACTTAACTTAGTCACCTTATTTGGTCACAATCAGAATTCTGGGATGATTGCAGAATCTCTGCATCTGGCTCGGCCTTCTGATCTACAATCTTATGAAATCTGGGATCTCCTGAGGCTCTCTCATAGAGTTCGTCAACAAGGTCATGCTCACTGTCTCCCATGTTTTGAACACACCACACAAGAAGATCAATCTCACTACCTTCCAAATTGTTAATAAGAGCTGCCACGGCTAGACGTTCAGGTTCTGAGTGACTTAGCTTCTCCAAATTTTTAAGGAGGTTCTCGAATTTTTCGATAATCTGCACTTCAGTTGTGGAGTTGTCTTTACCGTCTAGACTTGATAAGGATGCAATTTGACTTGTATCCCTCAGAGTGTCTCCATTGCTGCCGTGATCAAAATGTGGCGATAGGATCCCCGCATCCAGAAAAACGTTCTGTAATAATGACCGATGAATACCTGGAAACACTTTCTCAAGAAGACTGTAGACTTGAAGACTTAGATATTCCATGGTAGAACCGTGTTTCAAACTAGCGAGTTCCTTGCGCAAGAAAAGGAGCTGTTGTATTGTGAAAAAGTTCAACTCGTGGTACTTCTTTCTAAGCGAGTTGATGTGCTCTTTACAGCCTTTGTAACGTTGATCGAATTCTTTGCTCTTTGACTGGATGTCATCAACGATCTTCTTCCCCATGATACTTTTACATTTAAATTCTTCCTTCCAGCCGAGGTGAGACACGTCACCAATTTCACAGAGATTCACATAAGACTGTCCAAGTTGAACAACGCCTTGTAGTAACTAGAAAGATAGACGTAAGTGAAAATATGCTATTTTGTGGGTTTTATTGTAAGAATGGTTAAAAAAAAGAAACAATAATCCATCCCCATGCATTATTTTTTAAATACCCTCATGATTAATTCCATTCAGCAACCTCCTTCCAATAAGCGCCCCTCCCCTAATTTGTTTTTGTTAAGAAGTGCCCCTACTGAGTAAGCACTCAAATTACAGTAAGGGCCCCTATTCCAATAAACGCCCCTATTCTGTTTCAATGAAAGCACTGTTAGACTACATGTAAATTGAGATCAACCGTGGTACAACTTCCTTTAATTGCTCACTTAAAGCCTCAGGACAAAAAAGTGGTCTTTGTCTCAGTCTCTCGATTATTATGAGGCATCAGTGCACAGTTCCTTCAAACGAAAGATCCCGTCTTAAAATTTTGGGACGATTGCTTGGCTAGTCGGTTTTCAAGTCCTAATCCTCGGTCAAATAAACATTTACGCGTTGTTTCACATTCTGCTCTTTCTGAAAAAAGAAGTAATCGCTCCTTTTCGAATGAGTGCCCTCCCTTGAGGTATCAAAAGTAAATAAGCGTCCACAATGCTAAATCGAAACATTAAGTTTATGGTTTAACTAGCTTTATAACATAACCAAAGTAAAGCGCGCGCTCTGATTGGTCAATTTAGCGTCCCCCATTTGCCCATGGGTGTACGCTGCTGACGTGAGCAAATGCAAAGACTATTTTTCCGCGCGCGCTTGTTTTTTCTGGTCTCGTAAGATTTGTTAAATAAAAGGGAACTCTTTAGCTACAATGTATCAATGTTATGTTATAAAACAAATGGTAAACACCACAGCGTACACTATTGAGTTATGGATGCACTTGGGAGGTTTGCTAAGCACTCAAGAAGCTAGAGTCGCTCTCGGCTATCGCCTCGAGCGACTCTTACGCTTCTTTCGTGCTTAGCAACCTCCCGCGTGCATCCATAACTCAATAGTGTACGCTGTGGTGTTTACCATTTGTTAAATAGTGTTAAAACATTGATCGGACCTTCTACATCTTTTTTTTTTTTCGGCTTTCTATTCTCCCGTAAACCCACTTTTTTACATCTGAGAAGTCCAAATGAAGCACTGAATATGGTTGGCAGTCATTCACAACATCGAATTCACTTTAACATAGTTACTTAAAAAAACCAAATGATTAAATAGGACAGCAGCAACATCATGAAAATTTACTGAAACCTTCAATGAAAGATGAGCCAATTATACCAACTTGCCAAGAGACTTACGAAATGAGATAAAAGGACGTGGATGGGAAGTAAAGGTAAAATACTGTACAACTTATAAGCACAACTTAAACTTATAAAATGAACCGAAGGTTAAGCTTCAGTTGTTGCCTTATCAATGTGTTCCGTAGCAAGGTTTAGTGCGATACCAAAATATTCACGTTCAACTTATGAAACAGCGTTCGCGTACTTTGCCTGAAGCTACACTGATAATTCACCTCTCCAAAATTTTGTATGGCCTCCTGACCCTGTGAATCCTTTCCTGAAATGAGAGCCAGTTTACTTTGTAGTTCTCGAAGTTTCTCCAGATTGAATTCTCTTGCCTGACCAATTTCCTTTTCTGGTAGTAGTCGTAGGCTAATAACAGAGTTAACATTTGTCTTGTCACAGGGCCGAGTTGATATCCGGTTGTCCAACGTCCCTATAAAATAAATTCCTCTTTCGTTGATAGCTTGAGCCAATTTGAGAGACGACATGGCATGCTCATCCTTGATTCCCTTGAGCCACTCAAGATGACCACTAATATCTTCCTACAAGAACAGGAAATAAACACTATCTCCAAAAATAATTAAATTATGGAACATAATACCATTTGATCTCCCCATGCTCATTTTCAAGTTGTTCATCGAATCATTTCACACAGCGATGAAAAAATCCTCGCGGTAAAAAAAAAAAAAAAACCTGCAACACGCCAGCAAGCAAAAAAGCATCTTTGCAAAAGTGTATGTTTTTTTTTTGTTTCACTCTCCTACAAGGCGCTCAGGACAATTATAATTAAAATGTACTTAAGCTACTCAAAAAAGCCCATTATAAGAGGAAAAATCACACTAATGAATTTGAATTAATAGAATTATTAATTAAGAAAAGTTACCAACATTATATTGACACATAAAAATGCAAACCGCTCGACGGCTTAATTAGTTTGGTTTTGCCGTGGTCAGAAATGTTTTAGTCTTACTTTGTTTCTTTTGCTTCAGCTTATGTTATTAGTATAAAGAAAAGAAAATAAAAGTAAAATTGGTTGAAAATTCCTTCCTCAAAGAATGCTTGAATTATAACAGTTACGATAGAATTTCATAAAATTATGGTTAAAAGTCAAATCCGTGAAATCCTTCATCCAACCTGATTGACTTTTCCTCAAGAACTTTAATATAGTTTTTGCAAATAAACTTTTGAGCGATCGAGTTCCCGTGGAAATATCTCACCAGTTTCTCTGGCAAGGTGTCGTTTCTTTCCACCTCTTCCCAAACACCTTCACATATCTCCATCAATTGCTCGAAGTCAGCATGTTTGTGCGCTAGGTCAAATATGAAAGGTGCGAATCCAAGGGCAGTGGTGTGCAGACAGGAGACACGATCGGTTTCGATGGCGCTTTCATCAGTGGACATCATCGCCAGATCTACCAGTGTTTTTACTTCCTCTCGCCCTGAAGATGAATCGCAATGTCAAACTTTTACAATGGGTTTTTTAAGAGTTACTGAATCGTGTCTGACATCTGAATACTGCATGCTCCTGAGGTTGCATGAGTAAGTTATTGAGTCATTCGTTACCTTAGTCCTCCTCCGTTCCTCGATAGGCGTTTTTGCAAATGGATCCGGCCGATGAGTTAGTAAATAAGTCCTAACTTCTCTCCAATTACCCGCCACCAGCCACTAAAGGTTCTCTAGTAAGTTACTGAAATGTCAAGAAGTAGTTCAAGATACCTTTCACTTCTTCCCGAAGCCAAAATATGTATTCCTTGCATTCAATGACAGTTCTCAAGCATTGAATCATTGGCCGTGAGAAACTTTCAAGTGCTCTTGCGATTTGGAAAGTCTCATAACTGATGGAACCGAGCTGACGTCTCAGAAACTCTTCACTCATCTTAAAGAAAACAAGCGCAGATGGGTCGTTAACTGCTCTACACGATAGCAACTATGGTAATGTAGATCTCAGATTTTCCGTCGACATTCGTCTACTGCAAGGGTGAGCCGTTGCAGTGGTTACACACACTACTTTTAATAAGAAAAAAAAATACTGACACCTCCTCTCTAGAAATATAAACATTTTAAATTATCTTTAAAAATTGTACCTGATCGCGAAAATCATCCAGCAAATGGAAGTCTCCCTGAAGTTCCATTGCTTCTTTAAAATATGAAATCATGGCTGCAGCATCCTCGCACTCTTTCAATTTGTGGCATTGTTTGATCTGATCAACACGGTCACGAAGAATGGTGTCTATGTCGTCTTCATGGGAAAATGTAATCAATGCTGCCTTCATTTCCCTGACTAAAGCTTCGGGATCGTCACGGAACCTGTGGAATTTTTCATCTACATCTTTAAGACTGATTTCTCCGTTAATGATTCTTTCCCATAGGCCTCGCCATTTTCGAAAGGACGGCAGCCAAAGACGCTCTCGTACTTTGTCTATCGTGAAAGTCCCGTTAAACCCTGGCTCATCTCTGCAAAAATCGGCGGCCTTCTGACCACACATTTGCCAAAAGTCGCGGAAAAGAAGACTATGGTGAATATCATTTAAAGATTGTATCATTCCTTTGTTCTTTATAGAAAGATCAAAGAACTTCATCGCAGGCTCATCTCCATGGCGACGTTTGTGGCAAATTTCAAGTATTTTACGAGAAGGCAGGTCCATTTCCAGTTTCTTCTTGATATTTTGTAGGTCAATATCCACTAAAAAGTGAAATTTTACAATCAACAGTTGATTTCAGAGACATAAAGTGGAATGTGTGACCTACTGTTTACCTCTTTTTGATAGATAAGAATGTTGCATGAAATGAAATTGCACAAGGAAGTATTTATGAATAGATTTAACACGAACACAGATTCATCTCTCGCGAAGTTTTTAGAGAAAATTAAACGACACTTGTTTGCGGAACTCGAGCTCTCCATGGTCATCTTTCTGTAGCATTTTATCGTTCTTCAAATAAACTGCGACAAAATTTCGCCAATGAGACTACTAACACGAATGTACTTTAACGATTGAGAGAATTACCGAAATGGTTGGAATATCAAAACCACTCGAGATACACCAATTCCGCATCGCTCTGACAGTGTTGGAAAAATATACAAGTTTCATAGAGGCTGAGGGGGTTTCATAGTAAACAGGCCAAGAAGGAAGGAAAGTATTTCAACAACACCTGATCGGATAATAGAACACATGCGAATGAAAGTAGAAACAGCATCTCTTTCCTTCTCAAAAGCTTCGAGCTCCTCAGCGCGCATTTCAAGAAGGAACTCCACATCCGCCGTTTCTCGCTGGTTTCCGCTAGCTTCACTGCCAGCCACGGCTTCCTCATTTAGAGGTATGTACTCTGGAACTTCAGGTAGCAAAGAGTATAACTCCAAAAATCTGTCACGGTCTTTGCTGACAATTCGTAGTGTGCTCACATTAATTTCACCACTTCTCAAGCAAAGTGCTATATGTTCTACAAGCGAGGTCGCAGAAACAAGAAGTTCCAAGCCGCCATTAGGTAAGCAAGCATTGCCGACACTTCCAGCGCCTGTGAAATTACGTCAGTGATAAGTATTTGGCTCAGCAGCTTTTGTAGAGCTAGTCTCTGAAAATATTCTTCTTCATTAAGTAGAAATACTCTAATCCGTTTTAACATATGTTTCAGCTATAGGATGAAGTAAAAACATCGATCATTTAAGCCCGCCAGCACTACGGCTATGGTACCTATATTGTCTTCAAATTTAGTAAATCACACTAATGCTTTGATAACCCCGGTTTCTCTCCCTGAAATACAAGTTTAGACTTATTCTTATAGATTAGCGCTGCAAACACAGCTAAGTCGGAGTACTGTGTAACTTAACTCAATTTAAATATACTGACTGCAGTCCTTTAAGGTGGTTTAGACCACTAAACGTACCGAAATGCTTAAAATATTGTGCCATTGGCTTCCATGTGAGAATGTGTTCCAACTTCTTATCTTGAGAAAGCTCTTTTTCTGTACTATCTTCGGGCCAGCAGGTCTTCAGTAGGAGGGAAAAGAGTCCTCCGACTTCAGGGGACTGCATCTTGGACGTTGCAAGATCTGAACTCAAGTGTGCCATCTGGTTCCCCAGTGTTCCGTTCTATAACAAAGTTTGAGTAACACGTCGCGTATCGTGCATTCAAGTCCCATTTTTCTCCGAAAAAAAGGGACTTCAAATATCACTAACATCGAAGCAGCCAAAGCAGTTTTTACGCCTTTATAATTTCAAATAATTCTGCTATGACTCTTAACTTAATATAACCTCCTCTGTAATCTTCACAAGCCTTGGAACACTCCTGATAATGCACTCACAATTAAGGCTTTAATTTCGCTATATATTCCTTCATCCCTTCCAGCTCCCCTTCCTTTCTGCAACATTGATTCTAATATCTTTGAACATTTTCTGTACTATCACCTTAGAAACACGTCATCAAACACAGCCCTGAAATAGATATAAAGAACTATGAAATGTGGACCTTTGCTGTGTTCCCAAGGACCTTTGACCACGATTGCATGGCGACCCCGACGTGATATTACAGTATTTTCACTTAGACCTTCGTAACGGAGTTGAGCTTACCTTTAAGAGGTGATCTGCAGCCTCGTAGGTGGCAGCCTTGAGACATTCAGAGATATCTCTATGGCAGGTTTGTAAGTCCAAAGAACAGAAAAGTTTTATCACATCCTCTTGTGTCATCTGTTTTTTACAGAATAAGCATGTAAGGCTTGATTGGTGTCAGTCACATCAATTTAGTATTGCAATATGATCTAGTAATTTACAATTAACACCAAACAAGGTTCTAAACAGATGTAATTACCATTTGCCCCTTATAGAGGAGAATAATACTCCCCTTGCAGTTGTTGGACTTTGTTAAATGTGAACTTAAGTTAGGCCATTCGGGGTCGAACAGATTGAAAACTAAACGGAACCAATCCAGACACCGAGGCACACCCTTTTTATTGCGAAATCTGTTTCAGTTTCAGGGAAAGAACTAGTTGGAAATTCATTCTTATTTAATTACACGGGAGCGCACTTTATAGCTTTTAGATTTACTGGTTGTTTGTTATAATAGAACCTTGGCCGCACAGGCTAAGGCAGCGTGTCCAAATTTCACAATCACCGTTAAAGGGACTTGGAAAATGCTTTTATTCCGACGTCTATACGAAAACCAACTAATTTACTTCCATTCCGAAACCTTCCAAAGTGTTCAACATCGAAGATAGAACCAAGAGACAATTTACCTGATCTATGCGATATTTAAGTGACTCCCTTAATTTTTCTTGCCAAAACTGCTGCATCTCATCGTCTTCAAGATTTAAGGAGAGCAAGGCTGTCCACCCCTGAAACAAAAAGTTCAAGATGACTTGTATTTATCGCAGCTTTTATGCCGATCATAAACTAACTCCAGAAGGGAGCAACATAATTTCCTTTCGCTTTACATGTAGCTTACAATTATCATTTAAACGCCCTGTAAAACAGCAGAGGGGAGCAAATTAGTCATTTATGACACAATAAAGAAAAGATGCAAGCAACAAACAGCCTAAAAGAAAGCAGGCAAAAGAAACCAAAAAACAAACAAAAAAAAAGAGACCAACTTATGGACTCATTACTCAGAAATGACCAATAGTACAGTAAAATGCTACCTGTAATTCCTTGTAACATTCATCTGATTTTTTTTCAATTAAGGTCACATGCCTATGCAAGGAGTTTTGTAAAATCTGTAGTGCCTCTTCAAGTAACTTTATGGTTTCCCTGACTTCCTGTTGGTCCTCCTTTAGATCCACGGCAATTGATGTACTGCGTTTTGCCATCATAAGGCTGCTCCCAAGGAGAGTGAAGACTCCAGAGAAAATCTGAATTCTCTCCCACAAGGCTGAATTGTGTTCCTTGAACAGTTGACGCAGAAGATGCGCAGATGCTTTGGCTAAAGACATGACGATGTCTAAGTCGACGCGTTCCAACCTGGCAAAGTAAGGAGATATTGTGAAGGTGTAGTCTGATCGTCCGGGTGAGTGTAGTCCTGAGAAGGACTGTTGTCGGTGGCAGTGACTGACGTTTCGACAACCTGTGCGGAAGTCATCATCAGAGTCAAGTGAGTGATTGTTGTCAGTAGAAGTACTGACAACAATCACTCACTTGACTCTGATGATGACTTCCGCACAGGTTGTCGAAACGTCAGTCACTGCCACCGACAACAGTCCTTCTCAGGACTACACTCACCCGGACGATCAGACTACACCTTCACATGTTACCCCCGGGTTCAAACCATTTACTGCATAAGGAGATATTGTCATAAATTGCACTATCAGCTTGTTATTTTATATTTAGTAACTCGCTATGGAAACGATAAGTAGGCATTTAACAGCAAAGTTCTGATTAATCCTACACTAAATATTTATGCTAAAAACATAATTAAAAACATGGTCATGTTACGCATGCAAGAGTTATTTTTGTTCGATAAAAGAACGACAATACAGCATTACTTTACCTTAACTTATGAGAGAGTAAAAGACCTTCCAATTTGTCTGAAATGAACTCACACCGGTGTTTTTGGGTCTTTTGTCTCTGTTGTTTGAATCATTTGTAAGCAAAAATAAACTGCATCTGCAGTCTACTTCGCGGCCGTTTTTTCGTCTCGTCACACAACGCTCTCTCTTTCCGTCGGAAAGAGAGCGCGTTCCGTGACAAGACCAAACAACGGTTTATTACCAAATATCACAGCGAAAATGCTGTGATATGATTGGTGCGATATACATACTCTAATGCAGCAATCTGACCGATGCGAGATAATACCCTGATGCGGCAATCTGATTGGTGCGAGATACGTACTCTGATGAAGTGATCTCATTGGTGCGAGCAACATGCCACTCTAAGTGGTTACCTAAAATAATTTATTTATTAATTTTTTTAAATAACTAAAAAACTAATGGAAATTGATATATTTTCCTCTTCAAATTGAACAGGAAATATGCTATCCAGAAAGGTGCACTGTCTCACCTGTCAAAATCGCTTTTTCTTCTCTTATTCATCTCTCTTAAACACTGGTCGAGGTCATCCCACTAGAGATAGAAAGAAAACAGAGCCATTGAAGACAGGCCCCCTTTTTGTGTTCGTCTTTTCGTCTTTTTAACAAATAGTAACAAGGGCATGTATGTAGGCCAGACATACTAAATACAGTACTATAAACTCCTGCTGATACCATTAGGTTTAAGAATTTCCATTCGCTGGAAAGTGTCTCAAAGGTGGCTGGTGGTGATGGCAGCTCTAAAATCTTCAATTTAAGAAAGTGACAAATAAACTACCTCTTCGTCAGGGAATATTTCTTCCAAAACTCGAGTTACTGTCCACACGATTTCATGCAAAGGTATCTGCACATCTCTCTGTAGCACCGTAACAATGTCTCGTAGAGGAAGTGCCAACAAAAACGTCCTCGTAAATAAGGGATCAATCTCGAACATGGAAGAAAGCTGAATGAGTAGATGTACTGGGTTGCTACTCCTGCAATCAGGTTTAAACAGAAAAAACCTTGAGTACATATATACTGTTACCGCACAGATTATCGCATAGGCAGCTTCACAGGTATCATAAACGAAATGCAATTTACTCCTTCTGTTTACTCCTTTGAGCCTATTCGAAGCAGGAGTTTGTCAAGTTCACCGGCACAACAGGACCATCACGTTGAGTTACAGTCCTCTTTGAAAACTAAAAAGTAAAGTTCCTTGTAGCGAAGAAAATACGTGGAAAAGGCTTGCATGAATAAAACTAGCTCGTCTTACCAACAAATTGAACAAGATAAACGTTAACGTCAAAGTAATCTTCAACCTCCTTGGTCGCATAGTGATCAGTCCGGCATTAAACCGGGAACTGCAGCGATTTTCTGGGAAATATGATTCCCCAACTTAGACAATTGTTCCGAGAAAACTGCATTAAAGTCATACCTGCATGTGAACGAGTGAACGTCAGGCGCGTAGCGTCCTATACGCATATACGCACGTGCGTACTTGAGGTGATCAGAAAATTTGTAAATTTTTAGCAATTGTTTCTATTTTTAACATTTTACTTGTACGCAACAAAGATTTCGTGATGAAAACACCACTTTGATTCAATTCTTAAGACTAAAACAAAAGCTATACCATGGTCTAACTTTGTTCTTTGCTTATATTCATATAACTATTTCGAACAAGGAATAAAGAACGCAGTATTTTTCGCTCAGTTTACTTAGGTTTCTAGATCATATGTACTTGTGCGTACTTGAAAAAAGGATCACACTACGCGCCTAAACGTTGTTTCCAGAGAAAAAACTGAGGTGCACTTCAAGCACGTTCTAAGTGCACTTGGACTTAAGTCCACTTGAAGTGCACTTGAAGTGCACTTGAAGTCCACTTGAGGGTCTAGTGTGAACCCACCTAATGATATTCCTAATGAAATGAAGGATCTTAACTCAGTCATGATTTTTAACACCCGTATTTTAAAATTCTATATCACAAACTTTTTCATAACTTTAAAAATTAGTGGCTGTTTTTAGGCTTCCTAGGTCCTATTTTTTCTTTCTTTTTTTTTTTGTAGGACCTTTATTGATATGAGCATTTTAAGAGGTCACCCTGGTGAAATAACATTTATGTTATTATTATTATTATTATTGTTATTTTTATTATTATCATTAATATTATGATACTGCTTGAACTCCGCTCACTTGTTTCGTAATTCTAAGAAAGGTTGAAGAAGTTGCCACTGATTGTAGCTTAATCTTTTTATTCACAATTGCCACCGCGCGGATGATGAGAGAGCTAACACCGTTCAGATAACAGCGGGGCATCCTAGAAGTCTTCTATCATCCCTCTTCACCTGACGAAAGGCTTCAACACGGTGGCAAGAAAGGAATATGGAAAAATTAGCCTGTGCCAGGCATTCGATTAGTACAACGGGGCGAAAAAGTAAACAACGCGATAGTGGGATAGAGTGAAAAGGCGAGGAAGGTTTTAGTCGCGTTACTGCACGCCTGAACAGGCTATGAAAGACAGAGTCTTTCTCTGCTAACCTTGATCATATCTTTGTCGTTTCATATCAATATATATATAACTTATTAGACGTTTCGTTGTGTAATATCGCTGAGTATTTTTACGAGTTGTGTAGTATTTTGACGAACCCGTAAGGCGAGTCAAAATACAATACAAATAACGAGTAAAAATATTCAGCGGTACTACAAAACAAAACGTCTAATAAGTTGTTTATTATCCAACGCGCCAAATTGTTTTTTTAGTGCAGGCGAATTTCGCGGATATTCATATACGCCGGGAGTGCGTGACAGAAGTATACGAAGCGGGACGGAATTGGCACGTTATCGTGTTGTTGTTTCTATTTTCTGTAAATGATGAAATTTCACTGTCGTCTAACTGCTTTACTTCGTTCAATTTATCTCACAGACTTGGATCAATATTCGCCAGCCATTCCGACTTTTCGTCGTTAGAAAAATGATTAAAATTGTCCACCATTTTTTTTTTGTAACTTCAATGCGTGATATTTGTACTCTTCTAGGCGTTATTTGTACTCTTCGAAATGTAGTTAGATAATAAATGTCATTAATCGTGGTTTTGATAACAATAAACCGGTAATATCAATTGAATTGAAACGCTTGTACCTGAATAGAGAGGCTTGTCGCCGAACTGTCCTGAAATCCAAGCCTTGCGTTCCCCACCAGTTGTTATCCTTCGTTGAACACGGCTCTAAGGTTAACACTTCAAAAGAGAATGGCTCACTGGTATCGGTCAAGAAATGAAGCAATGGCATCACAAATAACCAATGAAATACACCTCGATGATATTCAATGGCGTCCATGCAAAGTTGTAACAAATGGTTGGCCAGAGAGCTAAGAAATAATATAAACATTACTTTGAGTGTATCGGCAAGTTTTCTAACCATTTATGAATGATGTGTATACAATTTCGTTTAAGTAGAGTAAATTTCTGGAAGGATCAGTCATTCAAAATTTGGGTTAACGCAATGCTATCTATGAGAGAACAAATCTAATAAAAAAAAACGGAATAGGAAAGTAGGAAGAGAGTGAGATGGATAAATCGAGAGTGAGTGTCCCTTACAATATGATGTGTCAACATAGGTAACCTATCTTTGTAAACTCTTATTTTTTAGCTTGCATGTCTAGATGTTCATCATCTTCTTTTGGAAAAAGTAAGTAAAACAATCTTACCATCACTATCCCAATATCACTTAGCATAACCTTAAGTGAGGATGTCGCTCCACGATTGTTTTGCGCACACTATAATGAGTTGAATTGTTGTTGTATTTTAATGTTTCTTCGGAATTGCCCAGGAATACTATCAAAGTTTATAGTTCACCACTAAATTTTCTCCGGTTCTTATTGGTTTAAATCGATCACGTGACGCGATAGTGTTCATCCGTGGAGAGACATTATCAGCCCATAGTGCCCGCCCGCGGAAAATACCCGGATGGATAGTGCCCGTCCGCGGAAAATACCTGGATTGATAGTACTCATCCGTGAAAAGTTTTGATGAGTTTGACGGCCGCGAAGTTAGGTAGATCGGAAAAACAGTGACTTTTCAAGTCTGACAGGTATAACGTATTATTTAGCCAATGTACGGTTGCGAATTATTGACATTTGTGACAGGCTGTAGGCGCGGAAGAAAATTTAGTGGTGAACAATAAAAACAATAGAGTGTTTACGTCTCGGAACTATCGGTCTGATAGTTGCCCCTTGGAAATTTGATGTTCTTAAAACTAGCATATTTGCCCTAAGAACATCAAATTTCCGCGGGGCAACTATCAGCCGATAGTTCCGAGACAGAAACACTCTATTGTTTAAACAGAAAAAGTTGGAAAACATTACCGTCGATAGTGCTCCTGAGGAAAGTGTCGATATAAAGCGTCAAGCCCGCTGCACTTATGTTTCTCAATATCGGCATGCAATAGAAGACACTCAAAAAGATTTCTTAATTCATCCTCTCCTGAAAAAGTTATTTGATGACCAACGGCTAGGAATACAATTATCGCTGACGTGACAAGTATCATGGCTTGAGACTCCTCATCATCGGCATGAACTTGCTGTGTCTGGATGTTACGGTTTAATTGCAAGGAAATGTATCCATGCAATACCTATCATAAAATAATACGTCAAAACATCAGGTACACTGGAAAGTGGGGACTGCCCGTAGTTACTTGTTTAATGCGCGTAATCGTTCAGTACATGATGCGTTCTTCACCTTTGCACATTTCTATCCAATGACCGTTCCGTCTCTTTAAGTTAAATCTGCATTTGTGCCAGTGATGGCAAACAAAAGCGTGTTCTTTTCCTCGACAGATACACCGCAAAAAAGAGAGGTTCTGATCAATGTTATGAAAGCTTTGGTAAAACGTTTCAATCGTCGTATGTCTTTTCGGAGTGGTTTAACAAAGACGAAAGATTGATATCAACTATCTTTTTCTCTTTCCGAGTGAAATAACAAAACTCCAAACGTACGAACCTCGATGGCATTAAATCCATATGGAACGCGTGTATAAAAGTTACCGCCGTTCTCAAACTCGGCCTTTGACATGCAGTGGAGCACATTCTTGATTTTAGTCAGTGTAGCGTGGCCATGGGCTCCTTTCTCTTCAGAGATTTCTGCCAAATCGGGGAGCATAGCCGTCATCGCCAATCGGCGGCCTTCTGCGGGGTCGTTTTTCCATTGAGGGAAGAGGCTGCGAAAAGCATCAAAAAAGCCAGGTTGACTGAAGATTGCATCGTCATACTGGTGCCATGTGGCTGTAGAAATTTAAAAGGAAACAATTCAGTACTCTTCGAATAAACGAAGGAAGGGTGAAGTGAAGGATGGAAAGATGGAAGAAGAAGGGTAGGAATGAGCCGATAGATGGAAGCATGGATGGATAATGAAAATTAAATCTAGCTAGAAGCGACTGTAGCACAAACACGACATAAAATCAGATGCAAATATCAAATTTCCCGTAGATTTCCGACTCTTTTACGGAGGCTTTCACATAACTTTGTATTACCGAGAGGGTTTTGTTTTAGTCCTACCGTTGGCTTTTAAAGAACTTTCAGGGATGCGTAGGCATCGGTTTACATGTCTCCCAGGAGTTACCGGCTTGAACCCAAGAAGGCACTCCCAAAGATCTTTATTAATCTTTTCTTTGGCATTTCCTTGACTGCTTTTCACCACAACATACTTATAAGCAATCGTTCGAGAGGCCTCGCGGAAAGTTAACACGGTTTTCCCCTCAAGCAGGTAATTGGAGCCATTCAGTTTCCTGGGAAAAAAAAAAAAAACAAGTAAGAAACAATCTCGTATTGCCTCGGGCCAGACAATAACAATTTCTCTCTAACCAAATATGCTTATCCATTTATTTATTCACTTTCTATAGGAAAACGGAGAAGGTTGCAGTTTGTTAAAATTATCCAATTGGAAACAGTATTGACATTCGAAGTTCTGGTGAAGGATGAAGGACCCATGAGGCTCTTCACAGCAATAATTAATGGTATGAATCTTCTTCTAACTCTGATTCTACAAAAAAAAAAAAAAAAGGTGACGCAATAATACCCAAAAAAGGGAGTGAAGCAAGGTTCGATTCAGAGCTTTGTTGAATTTAAAATACCTTTGGGGTCGCATCTCGAGCGGCCTAATTCCAGACTTCCAAGAGAGAGGGTGGTCTCCACGCAAAAACACTTTGTCACCTTGCTCAAAGTTCACGTTAAAAGTTGGCGTCAGAAAAGCGTGAAAAATAACTGTAATGGATGCGTCTTGGTTCGCCTTTGCTGCCCCATTTAAATGTTGATCAGCCCTGGGTGGTTCGTTTACATTAGCTGTCTTCTGAGAGTTGGAAGCTGTAGCCATGTTGCCATTATTTCCTGACTGTAGAATTTCACTCTTACTTATTCCAAGATTTGAATTAGTTACTTCATCGGGGTTATTGGGGTTTTCTGTCGCTTTCTTACATTCCTCATTGTTTAAAAATTGTACACCATTGGGAGGCAGTGCTGTAGCTGCACCAACATCAGTAACCAACGACTGGTTAGCATGTTCATCGTCATTTCCTGTTGGTATATCATTATCTCTGGAGTCTAAGGGCGCACGGGGGTCGATGCTGTCTTCATGTGCGCCTGCATCATATTCTGTGTTTTCGGTTGGTTTATCTTTGTTTAAAATAGAACTTGGGTTATGTGGCAGTTTGTCAACATTGGAACCCTCAGCAGCATCCATCTGAAGGCTTTGCTCATTATTACCAGTCGTCCCTTGCATGTCTCTCCTTTCCATAACATTTTCAATTTGCGTGCGGTCATCTCGGCCAAAACTCACAAGGCTCTCTTTATTGTTTCTACCCGAAGAATTGTCGTCTCTTTCGCCTTTCAGTGTCTCTACGTCATTTCCTTGCTCTATGGGCTTTGGATGTTCATCCGAGAGGGCTTCCCTCTCAGAATCCTCAAGCGTCATTGGGTTTTTCTCATTATCGAAACAAATTGCTCCAGTGTTGCTTGTCTTTCCAACATCACGATTTCCGCTACAGTTTAAATCATCAGACTCATCAACACCTTTCTTTTTCTCGTAGAGATGACATGAACTTTTTTCTTTACCTCCGGGTTTTTCAACGTCTGGCTTCTTTTGAAGCGGATTGATCCCCTTAAGAAGATGTTGTGCATCACTCTCCTTGCTAACGACAGACGTCCCAGAGTCCCCTTTTGCTTCACCATAAAAAGATGCCATTTGTTTTCCACTTTCACTTTCACCGACGTCTTGGTTTCTTTCCTTAACAACGTCCCTGTTTTCCAAATCAAGAACAAGAGTACGACCACATGGTAATTTTCCTTCGTTTTCGTTGTTATTTCCAGATTGTTTTTGAAAATCTGACAAAGAAATTAAAAGAAAGAATTTATCTCAAACAGGTAAAAAAAAAAAAAAAAATTAAAATCCCACAAACAAGAGAGATGCAATTTTCCAAAGGTAGCTATATAACTTTAAAATCAGCCTTACAAACTTACAGAGCAAAGTTCGAGTCTAATCACTTGTAAATAGTCATGTACAAAATGTAAAACTCCTGACGACGAACCCTGTTAACCGAGGGGGTGGGGTCGAGCAAAATCGTTATTTTGATGCAAGGACAAAAAATTTAGTTGCGGTGGAGAAATGCAAGTTGAATGACATCATTTGTGATTCACCGATCTGCTCGATCATCGTGTTAGCTACCTATGGGGTTCTCTGCTGTCTCCTCCACACCACCAGATTTTCTCCTCTTTTTTTCCATTTCTTGAGATTTTAGGCTTTCTTCGGTACCTCGATCAGCTTCGCAAGGAGCATCGATATTCCTTTCACCCAAGGTATCGTCATCGTCTTTCTTTTCCTTTGGGCACTGAACTTTAGCTTGGTCCTCCCCTTGCTTGTGATCGTTTACTTTCTCCCCATCACTGAGTGGGATAAGTATCTCTTTACCGTTTCGACCTCGCTCTTCCACATAATCTTCAAAGAATCCACTGCAGGAAAGACCAAAGAATCCTAACTTATCAACTATTTTATTTCAGGCTTTCAAGGTTTGACAAAGCTTTGCCGGGTAGAAAGATATATGGCTCCGGAAATACGTTACTAAATTTGAGAAGTTCTACAGCAGTAAGATATATCAAGATAACAAAACGTAAATCAGGGCAGGAATAATTTTTTAACTCACTTCCTGTGTTGTGTTTTAACTTCATTTTGATCTTTAGTCTGAGTGCTTGTCATTACCTGAAAAAAACACAAGAAACCAATCGAGGCAATAAATGCAGATACTCACACAGAAATTATGCACACGCTATAACAGCCTTTCCTATATACCTATGTAACAGATTTCCACGATGACTGGGCATTTTTAAAGCTATGAAAAACCATTGGTTAGATGTGTAATATACTCTGATGTTGTTACCGACAGAGAGATCCAATTTGTATTTTTGCCACTTGTTAAGACTGTCACTATGTAACAGAAATGTTGTTCTGTACACCTTTAAGTGTCCCCAATTGTATATCATTAAAAATTGGCTTACGATACTTTCCTTGGTTCCTTTGACTTAAATTCTAGGAGAGCCATCATTGTTTAGAAAGGCTGTCAACTCGAGCTCACACTCAGGTTTCAAAAGGTGATTTTCATAGATCCAATTACCGGTAAATGTAGCTACACAGGTTTTATCTGTTCATGTCGAGAAACGTTTGACAAAAAAAAAATTAATCTATACAGCCTAAATCCCAGTTCTGTAGACGTTAGCTCTTACCTTGGTATCCGTTGCACTTTCACCACCAGACTTTTCTGGTTGCAGAATCTTTTCGGTAGCTTCCCGCTCTATAGCTTCCCCAGTGTTTGCGTAATTTGATGTGCCGGGAAAATGTTTTACGATTTCATTGGCTGCACTGTTTGAGTCAGACACCAGAAATTTTCCTGGCTCAGCTGGAAAGTCAACAGGAGCAGCTCCTTGTTCTTGATGGGCTTGAATCTCATTCAGATTTGATGGACCGTTAACATTGTTCGGGCCTGACAAACCCTCTTTGGTAATTTCATTATTGCTGCTTTTTTCGCCTCCAATGACTGATTCCGTGACGGCAGGTGGTTGGCTAGAGCCAGGAGGAGGATCAATCCTGTTCTCAGATGCCTCTGGTGAGTTCTGGAAATCTACTCAAAGAAAATTTTACATCTTACGACGTAATCAAACTGCCGATTAAATATCATGCATTCTTGTAAGTAGTATGAAAGACGACGATGGCCTTAATGCAATGTCAACCTTGTTAGTTGATTGATATTGAAATTTCTCAGAGTTAGATGCTGTTCTAAATTGCCGTTGACTAGGGGAGTAACGAACTTGCAATTATGGTCAAGGGTTTATTTTGTCAAATAATTTAATCAAGTTTAGATTTTTAAGCAGAGTGCGAAGTCAGTACGCAGAGCCTCGTGATTTGTTTTCAATGGCTTCTGACTCATGATCAGTAAGCCATAATTTAGCGAAAAGATAACGCAATCCAATGGTTCGAATACATGTCACTGTATTCCATTGATCCATCTTCTGAGAATTTGATGTTTAAAATTAAATTTAAACGACTGCATCAACATCTTTAAAGAATAAAACCTATCTCCTATCTTTACTATGTAATCGTCTTCACACTGTCTTTTGTTTTAGGAAATTCAACTACGAGTCATCTGAATCTAAACTGTTTGCAGTCCAATGCAAATTTGGTATTTATTTTCATTATCTAATTTGCATTGGCACCGCCTATATCCAAACGAAAGAGCTGGTTGTATGTGAGAAAATCAGAGGAGAAAATCGCCTAAGAACAAACTCACCCTATATCCAAATCTCTCTATTATATTCGACATGTGAAACAGCAAAGTACAAATAAAAATTTAAAACTATTGAAAAAGATAATTTCATTCATTTGTTCTTTTGTCCTAATGTTGTTCAATAGTTATCCTACACAAAAAATGACCCAAGCAAACGTTGCCATCCAACAGTATTCGAAAATAGTTATATCTTGTTGAATTCGTCGAAATAAAGTACCCACACCATAAAATCTCTCGATCTGAAACAGCTACGACCCCGACTTCAAGCATGCAGAAAGCTGAAACTCAGCCGGAACTAAGTGAACCAGTTTGATATGGAGGAAGTAATCATCGCCTCTTCATATTCCTCGTCAAACGAGTTCAGTACTTCGTCTAAAACAATCGATGGCATCCTTAGGTTCACACTCTAGTAAAAACGAGTCGAAATATAATCTTTTCCCGAGGTTAGCCGAGTCGCAATGACTCATCAATTTGTGAACCCAGTGTCGTCCAAACAAAGAGATAGAATGTCTCTCCTTTCGCTTCGTGTTCGAATGACAGCGTCGCTAAAAATTTTCTTGTTGTATCCTTAAGTCCAACTTTTCGAAATTAAAGCACCGGCTTTTTCTTCTTATCGTTTTATCCTACGCAAAGTACCCAGAACAGACAATCGCGTCATCGCGTGTAAAGTCCTTAGTTTTGATAACTCCGTTCTCCCCCCCTCCCCTCGTCCCCTTTCATTGCGAGGAGTCAAAACACAAGTTTCAAACATTAAGAGCGTTAAGAAAATTAATGTATTTAATGGGTGAGCTTTAAGTAATGGTTAATGTCCTTTTTTTTATTTCTCACTCGAATTGCTGTCGAATATCAAGAAGATATTCCTGTCGCTTGTCACTGATCGTAAATTCTCGTGACCTAGCTGTTGCGTTGCATCTCGCTCCTCCACCTTAGAGAGTTTCGCAAAGAAAAACTCTGCGACTTACCTGAAGTAGTTGTAAACTTCGCAGGGCTGGTATTCGTCAGTGTTCGAGTTTCTGATGATATTGCAGCAGCAAGATTAAAGCCGCAATTGCAGCAGAAGTGATGATGTTCTTGCAGTTCGGTGTTCCCACAAGATGGACACTTCATCGTGACACGAAATGCTTCTAAAAACTACATATCTCACTTTGAGAAAATGTGCTTCTGCCAAATTCAGTTTTCCGCAAAAAAACTACTTTCGATGTCGATTTGGAGTAGGAATCGTTGTGCGATCAATTGCAACGTTTCCCACTAAATGTTAAATCGTTTCCGCGAAATGCTATTAATAGTTTCGTCTGCCTATGAGAATTTAATAATTCCCAGAGATCCCTCTGCAAGCGGAAGTCGATTTCACTTGTCGCCGAACTCTTGGAAATTTTTCAAGCTCCCTAAGAATAGCCGATCAAAGATCTACATTTTACAGGTGAATTGACCGTTTGAGCAATATTCAAGGTTGATTCAATTTGTTTTTTGAGAAAAAATTGTCTATTAGTCGAAAAGATTTCCACGAAATGTCTCGATTACTAATTAAAGCCATCCGGGTTTCTAAGAAATCAGCCGGAAGTCGGTTTTCCAAATTGACCAACCGTCATTTCGTAGTAAAACACGGTAAACATCAAATTATGATGTTGGTTTTTATCTTCGAATTCAAGATAAAAACCAATGAGTTTTAAAAAGATAAACACTGACGAATAGTTTTTAATTTTACGACGCGCATTCTAACGACAACACACAGGTCAATTACTTGAGTGTTTTACAAATTTATCATTCCAATAAATAGATCAACAAAACAAGCTATTTACATTTCTCTGTCTCTGTCTAGATCTTATCATCGATCTGACAGCGGTTGCCTCTTTAAATTACAGCTCGTCTGGTGGAAGAGCTCAGGTGGATCTTGGGGTGATAAAGAACTATTAAAAGGTTTTTCCCTGTTAGGTCCCCTTCACTTTAGCGAAACCGCTTCCAAAGCAGGGACCTATTCGAAACGTGGCATCCTGGGGGATTTATTTTTCGCTTTCATCTCATTAGTAAACCTCTGCGCTTCCGATTTTATATTCAAGGTGGCGTTATATTTTCATATTGTTACGAAACCTATAGGTTCCTATACAGTTCCCCCAAGCATAAAATCTGAACATTGAAACAAGCAAGGTACAGAATATGAATACCGATTGTTTCTTTCGGTTGTTAATTAATTGATAAGTTTGATGATAACTTATTACAGGACTGAAACAAAAAGAGTTAGAAAAACCAACGTCAATATTATTACTATTACTAATATTATATCAATTTCTCGCTGCGTATACAGATAACGTTACTATCTCAATTTTATGAATGATATGCAACAATCAAGCAAACGTCAAGAGAAGACAGTATCGATTACGTAAAATCCCCATCTTACTGTTCCAATTATAATATCATGTACAAATTGCAATTATAAAAGACTAATGCCGCATTAGATAGACGATTGGAGTAAACATTCTCTAGTACTGTTTCATAAAGAAGACCTAAACATTGAGTGGGGTGTAGGAGCTCTTACGCTAGAACGATCAAAAGTAACAAGGAAAAAACACTTTTTTTATGTCTTACCAGATCTCAGTTTTCTGTGTTCTTTTAGAACTGTTTTGGAGAATATGCAAGTAAACTCCTACATTATGTGCTTGCCGTGTGCTGAGTGGAAGCCATTGCATCCTTTCTCGATCTTAGAAAGTTTTCTTTCAGAAGCTTGAGCATTCGGGCCTTGCAGATGAAGGCAACAAATATGTACACTCCTTGAGTGGTCGTGAGCAAAACAAAAGGGTAGAGGAGTGCCTCGTGGATGAACTCAGAGCTGAAGCTGAAAAACCATGTGAAACCCATAAGGGAGGCCAGGCGAATATATATTTTAAAAACTGCCCTTTGATCCTGGCGAGATGATTTCACTCATTTAAGTTAAATGAAAGAAAGTGGTGCTCATACCCTTAACAAGGTTATGATCAGTGATTGGTGTTTTAGATCACAGCTCCTAAGACTACCATGTATTGAGGCATTTAAAGTGAAAGTAAAACAGCTTACAAGCCAGAGTCCTTTCTGCCAGAGTTCGTACCGTTTTCTGCACCATGAAGTGAGAAGTCAATCCAACTGGATAAGTTG